AGCTCACAAAACTAAAAGATGTTTGTAATGAAATAATAATTGAATATATCGGCATACCAATATGAAATAACACAAATATGCAAAGACAATTTGAATTTATCACAATCGATTTCCCAGAATTTTATTTCCAAAAGCAATATTCTGTATTCTCCGTCTGTTTTCTGAGAACTGATTGAAACATATTGAGCAAATAAAAACAGAAATGGAAAAATATAAATATTGAACATTATATTCGTCAGAACGATTTCATAAGTAAATTCAAAAAAATTTCATGAATTCATAGAGAACGCAGACTGTACGCCTCAATAACACTCTGAAGATAAGAGATTGAATGTCTACAATCAACAAGTCAATATACCAGTTTAACTGATGAAGCTACCGTGAAGTGAAACGCGTCTTGAATAAAATTCATATTGGGAAAATTGTAATATTTTCATGGATAAGTCATATGAATTTTATCATACGGATACCAATGATATGTAAGCACAAAATGGGAATGATAACGGTGATTTAGATAATCAGCGAAATGTCAATAAAATAATTGAAAAAGAAAATTATGTTGACCGATTTCATTGAAAAAAAAGATAATGAAAAAAATATGTTTGAAATACGTTTTTCCGTTAACCAGCTATCGCACCCTTACGAACGGCAACCCTCAGAAGTCGAAACTTGTGCGAGGTAAGGACTCACAAGGTCTCACCTTTCAACGTATGATTCCTAACACGATAGCAAGTGGAAATTGTGCGTTCAGCCTGGGGCTTAGACCATCGACTCACATATCGGCCGATTGACTGAGTGAACAAAGCACCCACGTCAAACCGCCTGGCTACCGACCGACCATGATGTAGTTAATGTACTGAAAACTAAAAAATAATTTGGAAGGTCCCAGGTAGCAGTCATCACACCACTCTGCTCAGCAATTTACGGTATTCATACAAAAAAAAATGTAAAATCGTTGGGCGTAGTATGGACGAATGTACTCACGTAGGTAACTCTATGCTGAGGAGGGTGGTGTGATTTTCAGTTTCTATTTCTGTTACTCAATTCTTCTATTTTTTTTAATTTCATTTAGTGTCTCAGTATTACAAGGTGATATGTAATCCGCCTTTTTGTTGTCGCGGCCATCTTGAATTTGCATCTTTTTTAAAGTGATTTACTATTCTACTATCAAGCCCTGTCATTTGATACGCATATTGAGGTAGTTGTTTTGAAGCACTACAGAAAAATCCCCAAGGCTCTGTTAAAGTGGTGATTTTGCGAAAGTAGCGATTCACGCTGGATTTGAATCGATGGAGATTAAATTTATTTAGAAACACGTTATCAGGAAGTTCATTCCACACAAACGCAGTTCTCCAACTCGAAGAGTTTTTAAACAGTGAAGTTCGAGGTGTACTGACTTGAACCCAAAACGATGAGCAGCCACATTTCGTCGCGTATTTCTGATATATACCGTTCTAGGTAAAATTAAATGTGCGCAGTCACTTGAATACCTCACGTGAAAGTATTTTTGAAAGAGACACAAATCTCCAACCTTACTTCGATGATCCAGTCTATCAAGGTTGCAAATGATGTTCGTGTCTCCAATCAGGCTTAGGGGCGGAGATCCATACATGACAACAATGCTCCAAAGGAGGTCTGATCTGAGCTTTATGAAGCATGAAAAGTTGCGGAGGTGTGTACATATCGGTATTCATTTCGACCCCTCAACAAACTTAACGGAATTGTCAGTCCTGCCTTTATTATATCTGTTTCGGAGACATTTATCTTTTTGGCGAAAACCGATGCCTGGGTTTTCGTGGCCATTCAATCGAACCTGGTTATTTGCACCACGATTCGAAATCACCTCTAGATCCTTGTTAAGATATGCAACCTCCTGCTGTCGTTGAAGATAAGCACCCTCAGCTGATGTCCTGGAATCCAAATGTAATGACGAGATGGGTGTGCTGTTGTCAGCACACCTATCTCGTCTATTCTTTGTTTTTCCAATTGAGTCGTTGATATACAATGAAAAGAGGGTTGGAGACAATATGAATCCCTGGGGAACACCAGCGTTGAAAGTAAACGTATTCGAGAGATACCCATCGACGGCCACTTGCATGGAACGTTCTTTCAGGAAACTGGAGAGCCATACAAAAAATTCTCCGACAAGCCATAGTATAGAAGTTGTGACACAATATGTAATACGCCATTTTGTAACTGTCGCCATCTTGAATTTACAAAGATACAGAATTCATTTGATTGTATTGTCATCGAATCTAAATGTCAAATCAAATCAAATCAGTCTATTTCTTCTACAGCATGGAAAATGTCAATCAAACTAATTGAAAATATCAAACAGAAGTATGAAAAATATGACAATTGAAAATAGTACAGTAACTGTTGCAATCAAGTTATTAATATTTCCAAATCAGCCTGGAAGTATTCATTAAGGGAATAAAATGTTCTGTCATGTAACAGTTTGTTACCATTTTTTTTGAAGGAATGCAGGTTTGATAGCTGTTTAAGAGAGATAGGTAGTTTGTTGTATACCTTGATAATAATTAGATGGCCGTTTGCTGCTTTTGTCAATTTATGGTGGGGAACAATAAAATTATAGTTAGATCTTAACGTATATCCTGTGGCGAGCCGAAAATTATCTCGTGATTCAAATTTGTCGAGATGAATTATGACATAAACAACACAGTTGAATATATATAGTGAAATAATAGTTAGAATGTCCAAATCTGTAATTTTTTGAAACACATTGTTCTCACTATCTTTTTTTTTGAGCTAGCTATTAGTAATTCGTTTATTCTTGTACAGTTACCAAAGTTGATCAGACAATAACTGAATGAAGACTGAATATAAGCATAGTAATAGCTCTTCAATATATCCAATGGAACAAAATTACGGAGATTACGAGTTACAAAACAATGTTTCGACATTTTACTCAAAATATAATCAATGTGCTTGTTCCAAGAAAGTTGAGCATCAATGTTCAAACCTAAAAATTTTACAGATGAGGTTTATTGTATTGACTTGCCATTTATTTTGACCAGAACACTGCGATCATTCTCATGTAGTGAAAAGAAAGTTTTTGAGCTGTTCAGAATGAGAGCACTTTGAGAACAATATTTTTGCATATTAGCAACTGCTTGATTGGCCTGACTCGACAATCCCTCATAATCTGAAGACTTCAGAGTGAACGAAGAATCGTCGGCAAATTGCACTGTATAATGTTGACGATTACTGTTGTTGAGGTCATGTACGAATAAAAGAAAGAGAATAGGTCCTAGGACGCTACCCTGGGGAACACCGGTGAGAACGACACAGGTTCTAGAGCGGAAGGTCCCAGCCTCCAGATTAACCCTCACAGTTTGCGTTCTGCAATCCAGATAAGATCTCAATCAATCCAGAGATGAGCCACGAATTTCTAGCCAAAACAGCTTGCTCAAAAGTAAATCGTGATCAACAGTGTCGAAAGCTCGTGACAAGTCGAATAAAACACTTATCGTTTTTTCACCTCTATCGAGATTAGAAATGACTTCATCGACTGAATTTCTAAATTTCAGATTAATCTGTCAACAGGAAGGGAGACAATTACTAAATTTAACCCAAACAAACAAAGGGCAAGCTAAATAAAACCGTTTAAAAAAGATTCCTCTCGAACAGTTGAATCTAAGAAATGATCATTCTCGTATAATCTTCCACTAAAATAGTCTCTGCAGTCCTTTCAAACACCGTATCATCGAGTACTTATAAAAAACACCGCTGTTCATAATGACTTTTTGTCCGAACAATTTATCAGGAATTCTATTGAGAATATTCCATGATTTTATAAAAAAGAGTGGTGAATTATCCTAATAAATTGGGTGAATGTATGAAAGACGAATATAAATGTGGCTACCAATATGTGAGCATGTTTTTCTTTTTGATGTTTAGTAAAATCTTACTCGTAAAATATACATGATCTTTACTCCTAATAATAGAGTAATGATTTGCCCTAATAAGCTGGTTTTCTATAATTTTCCAGGTACATCCTATTTTTATATAGCAACAGGGTCGAGTACAAAAGATTTTATGAGCGTTTGGGGGTATTTAATCAAAAATACTCATCAAAGCTAATAACTATGTTCACGTATTCATTTTTATACAATTTATTATCGACAGAATGATAGATAGATATGCGTACTCAGAAAGATATTAGGTATGAGTGATACCAGAACAAAAATACTGTCCTTATCATCTCCAGTGGCTGTCTACACTGCCTGTTCAATTTTCATTTTTCTCAAAAAATATTCATTTATTCATTAATTGCCAGCTTTTTTCCAATTCTCGAAGCAGATCTGATATACAATTTCTGGTATGTCTTGAGCTCTCTCAGCGATTCAATCATCGCAAAATGCTGTCACTTCAATCTTGGTAACAGGGGACCAAATTTGGTGACTATGGTGGCTTAGGCATGATCACGGTGTTGTTTTTGACAAAAACTAAGGAGTAGGTTGGTGCATTATCGTGATGCAAAAGCCATGAATTGTGTTTTCAAAGTATCGGACGTTTTTCTCGTGTTGCTTTTCGTAAGCGGCGCATAACTTCAGGATTATACTCCTTATCGATCGAACGACCATGTGACAAGAACTTCAACGTAATCGAAGAAAACAGTTAGCAAAACCTTGACATTTGATATAACTGGGCATGGATTTTTTGGTCTTGGCTCTCTTGGGCTATTGAACTTTGGTTTCGATATTATAACCATATAACTATGACCCTTTCAAGCAAATCTGTATCGCCGTTATTGTCATTCAACAATTCCTGAGCTGTGCTCACGCGACGGTTTTTTGGTCAAAATTCAGCAATTTAGGAAAAAACTTCGCTGTCACACGCTTCATGCTCAACATTTCCGAAAAAATTGCATGGCATGAGTCAAAAATTGATTGTTTTAAAATTGTAATGAATGAATATTACAATTCAGTTTCCAGGAATCTATTTTTTCAATACTTACAAAACTTTTCTTGTTTCAGAACATGGGAATATTACTACTTTCTGAATTATTATTGGATTCTTGAAGGACCTCGGTCAACCGTCATTGTGGTGAGTTCCGTATTTATTTTTTATTCTTCTTTTTATTCTTCTTATCTGAAAAACATTCCACTCATTTTATTGCTTCGTATTAATAAAAAGTTTCTGAACTTTCCGAATGAAGTTGGGAATTGAAATATTTGAGTGTCTTGATGAAACTCTGGGAGCATGGAATACTTAATACAGGCGAAAATGTTAATAGATTCTAGAACGAGAAACATGTTAGTTGTATGATAAAATCTAAAAACATCGTATGTCTGATATTTGTTCGGCTCAAATATTCTTCGTTCTCTAATTCACGGCGGATTTTATGTATTATGGTAGCAGCCTAACGGATTATAAAATAAAATCTGTTTTTCGGTTAACCAGCTGTCACACCCCAACGAACGACAACTCTCAAAAGTCGAAACTTGTGTGAGCTAAGGTCTTAAGAGAATGCGGAATTGAAAACGATTTTGTTCATACAGTGTGTCTCAGCTGAAACTTGTCACCATCCTAATCTGCGAACTCTTAAAAAAATTGAAAATCGCTCAGACCCGTCGATTTTCATTTCAAAGAGGATGACTTTCACCAAATACATCATCATTGTGTTGTCAACCCCCTCATCCCCAGCACCCCTTACTTCAAAATTTTCAATGACACTATTATAATTGTGATTAATCGTTTTGAAAGAAATTCAATCCCAAATACATCGGTGTATAGTCTACCCATTCCCAATTGGAACGGCTATAAGAATAAGAGTACAGTCATAAACATTTCTTGCCTGTGGCCTCTATTCGTCCAGATAGTTAGTAAACGTGCTATTAAATGTAGTTGAGGAATAAAGGCTCGGCTAGCTGGACTGGCTGAATACTAATTTTTTGTCCGTTTCACAATATTTCTTTATCAGTGCCGTGTGTTCGTGGGGTTAGGTGAGGTAGTGAGTGGTTTTACAAACCGATTTTTGAAAACTTTTTCTAGAGATCAATTACCCTAACACCAAACTGATATTTTTGGTTAGCATCTTCAGGAAAAGCAAATTGATACTGAATCTAAAGACAAGGGTTAGCTGTTTATATACCTAAATTTTTTCTGGTCCGATGTGGACTTTGTTTGTTAAATGATGATTATCTTAATTGATTTGTGGGTAATTAACTAGTGGAACCATTACCTGCAAATTAGTATTAGTATTAGTATTAGTTTGAGGTTGGGGTAATTGATCTCTAGAAAAAGTTTTCAACTTCTACACCAAAGGTTCCAATCTCATCGTTTAAACCGATTTTTGTGAAAAACGTGTTATTATTTTGCATGCCGGGAATGAAAGTGGTTTCGTACCTAACGTTTTGCTTCTGTCGGCCAAAAATATAAATGATTCGTCTGATGATTACCACGAAGATATGACTACGGCTTCATTCGAAACCTGGTTCAGTGAGCAGCTTCTTCCAAATATTCCTCTGAACTCGGTTATTGTTATGGATAACGCTTCGTATCATTCTCGGTTATTGACTACAATACCAAACAAAAAAAAGCAGATATTGTTGATTTCATCCGAAATCATGACATGGAAATACCCGAAAAGATTCCAACCAAAAAGATATTACTGGCGACCATAAAACAACGTAATTTCAAAAAAGAGTATATTATTGATTCGATGTGTGAAACACGTGGTCATATTCTCTTACGTTTGCCTCCATACTATTGTGTGTTCAATCCAATTGAAATTGGTTGGACCACAATGAAAGAAAGCTTGCGGAAATGTAATCAGTCACCGACTTTGAATGCTGTAGTGCTTCACAATATAAGGCGAGTGGTGAATGAAGTAGGTAATAATGATGTGTGGAAGAACTGAGTGCCCACGTTATAAAAGAAGAGAATAAATATTATGTGCAAAGTTCCATAAATCCGATCGTTATTCAACTCGATCATGATTCCACCTCATCCGAATATAGCGAAGAAGAATTTTGATTTTTCTAGCAATTTTGTTGGCTTCTATTATTTTGTAAATATATGTTTGACGAGAATTCGGTGTGATTATTTGTGTTTTTATTGTATTTTAGAGTTTTCGACTCGGAAATCAACTACCTGAAATTTCGAAGTTTTCATAATTACCTATGGTGGAAAAATTCAGTTGAGATAACTTTTTCATGGGGTGATCATTTGCTGTGATTGTAAGAATAAGTAACTGAAAAACTACCACTGAAAAATAATATGCCGACGCCTATGCCGAGGCGGGAATTCCTTCTCTGCGTTGTTCCAATTGGTATTAGAAATACTATACAAAAATTGAGAATCGATCAAGTGTTGTTGAAGTTTTATCAAGATATTTTTATTTTTCATCACCTAAAATATAATCATCATATGAAAAGTTCAAAAAGTAAACCATTCAGTTCCATACAGAAGTATAAACGATTTTCGAAATGTCTTCGCACATTCCTCAACATTTCTGGAGTCACTGCAAGACACTCTACAACAATTCTCCTGCGTATCATCAAGATAATTTGGCTGTTTGATATAAACTTTGGATTTCAAATCACCCAATTAGAAGAAGTCTAATGGTGATGAATCAGGAGATCTAGCCTGCGATTCTATTGGTCCTCGCCTTCAATCCATCTCCCTGTGAAATTGTCATCAAAATATTGACGTATAGGTATAACAAAATGTGAAGAAAGTCCATCTTGTTGAAAGGTGAGCTGATCTTCGAGTGGACTATCATCGTCTTCAAGTGACTTTACGTTGGTTCGTTAAGGTTACCATTAATAAAATATGGACCTATAATATGGTCTCCCAGAATACCAGCCCAAACATTCAATTTCTAAGAAGTTTGTGAATGGGTTTCCCTGTACCAATGGAGGTTTACGTAACTCCTGTATCTGCAGTTGTGCCTGTTAATACGTCCATAAAAAAAAGATTCGTCAGAAAAGCACACATTGTAGAGGTAATTATTATCACCAATCAAAAATCTCTGTACGTCTGTCACGACCATCTTTAATAAACTGTACATCCTGCATTTTATAAGGATGGAATTTTGCTTCTTCCAGAATTCGATGTACGCTGCTTTTAGAAACTTCAGAAATAGTCTCAAGTTGACTTTAAGATGTGATGTTGGACATCACTGCATGTCCTACAACTGCAACAGCGACCCCTTCATTTCTCATAGGCTTCTCTTGTTCATGTTTTTTATTTACACAAAAACACATAGCGACAATTTTTCATGAAAACGTCTGTATCTCCTTCTAAACTATTATTTCTGAGACATATTATTTTTCGATACAGTGGCGTACCTACAACTTACGATGATAATATTTTAGGTGATTAAAGATGAAAATATCTTGATGAAACTTAGTTTTCATTGAAACTTCAACAACACTTGATCGATCCTCAATTTCAGTACAGCGTTGTTTTTGAGATTGAATTCTCTCCAAAATGATGTATCACAAGTAAAGTAGTCCCATTGAAAATTCTGAAGTAGGGGGTGCTGAGGATGAGAGGGTTGACGACACAGTGATTATGTATTTGGTGAAAGTGTTCCTATTTGAAATAAAAATCGACGGGTCTGAGCGATTTTCAATTTTTGCACGACTTCGCAGATTAGGTGACAAGTCTTAGCTGGGACACACTGTATATAGAAATTCTGAGGACAAATTATTTTATGGCATTTTCAATACTTCATGATTTTTATGTCAAAAAAGTATATGTGTATTGAGTGATCCATTTTAAATAAAAAATTAGATAACATTTACTTATGTACCTGGAGTTGTGGGAAATGAACTCCAATTTGCCGGGTATATTGGTACTGACATTCACAAACAATTTACTTTACATGGCTCTACCCGCAATGTTGTTTCATTTTCTTTTTTGCAGGTGAATCTCCTATTTCTACTGAATATCATAAGAGTTTTGATTGTGAAACTTAGGGAAAGTCAGACAAGCGAATTAGAGCAAGTTAGGTGAGTTCAACAAGTCGCATGATAGACCTTCCGAATAACAACCAAAGTAAATGTTTTGCATCCAGATTGTTCAATATATACACAATGAATAATTAATCGTGGGACGATTAATTATACATTGTGTACATACAGCAGACAAATAATGACGATGAGAAATTTTGATGTAACTATTATGAAAACTTCTCGAACTTACTACGACAAGAAAACAATTTCAATTCTATGATATATAAGTGACTTTGGTACGGAGATGATTTGAGTGTTCATCTAGTAGAGCACAGATAATGTAAAAACAAAATAGTGTGTTTCTATACTCTAAGAAGTGAAGAACAAGTCGTTCAAGTGTCCTCTTGAAAGAGCGACATATAATTGGCTCGGTACCGCCGCAATCGGTACCGGTACCTTAGATACGGACATAAAGTGATGCTTTTGAAGAATATTTATATTTAGACATAAGTGAGGTTAACCATTCCTGTACAAAATTGTTAAGTGAAAAAGTATCTAAATTTGAGAACAAATGTGAAAATCATCTTCATTTTTTTGATATTGAAGTTGAAAATTTGTAGTTATGAAAATTGAGAGGTGGTAACTAAGGAAAGTGAGAGATTTTCAACTTTTTCGTCAACGACCGGATTCTTCACTAAAATAGTGAAGGGCCAACCTGATGAGCCCATTTTCAGTCGAATTTACACGATCCAGCCCCGAAGTTTAGAAAACTCACACCAAAATTGGAGGAAAACCAGGTATTTACCGATTCCACTTCAAATAAAATATATGCATATATAAAACAAATTGCCCAAGAATAAAATAACAGGACAATCAAAAAAAACTTTGAATCCAGAAATTTTTTATACAAACAAATCACAGTGACCTTGAATGATCAACTGACATTTTACAGACAAAGAGTGCGTTCCGATTTTCACATTAAAATAGTTCGGTGTAGGTTTAGAACATTTTTGGAATCAAGCAATTTTCTCTTTTGGTAATTTATATATTTTTGAATTCAACATTTTTACAATTATTATCAAAATTGTTACACATTTTCTGAAATCCGTTGTGTCTTTTTCAAATTTTTTCACAGGAACATCTGCAAGTAAGGTCAAATTTGGGTGAGGTGTTGAGATAAATCTCTATACACTGAATTATAGGATTCAAACTCAACTATGTTCTCTGGTGGGGGGAAATTATGTTTGTTTTGTATGGCGTGTATTGCAAGGTTTGATTTATATACTGTTGGATTTATGTATGCCTTTTTGTGCTCATTGTACCTTTGGATCAGTTTTTTCTTGGTTGGTAAAGTACCTGAAATAACTCTGAAATACTCTATATGGAAGAGTACTGCAGAATGAAGAACTCTTCTATTACTCATATTCAACCAGCCAACAGTTTTAAGTTTGTGTGAAATTAGTTGACGTCTCCCTATGCCATAGATCAACCTCAAGCAAGAATTTTGAAGTTTTGATTTATATTGACTAGTTAAACATGGACCAAAAAGCACATCTGCATAATTGAAATTTGAAAATACTGTTGCCTCACATAATATTGTCCTCAACCGCAATGAAAGGGAATGTTTTTGACCGTATATAATCCTCAACATGAAATATGCAATGAAAGGGAATGTTTTTGACCGTATATAATTCTCAACATGAAATATGCACCTTGTAAGAGTATATTCACGTGCTTTTCAAATCTGAGATCGGCATCTAGTAGAACTCCCAGACTTTTTGCTTCTTGAACAGTTGTGAGAGGAGTTTCATTTATACTTACATCAAAATCATTAAGTACAGTGCTGCGATTCATTTTGGAGCCGAAAACAATGACATTAGATTTACTATTATTAATAATCAGATAGTGGTTTGAGGCTGCCCCTGTGAAAGCTTTGAGATCTTCATTTATTCGACAACAAGCAATCAGTTATTTGTGGAGGAAACTATAATAAAGTTGAGTGTCATCAGCACATAGGTGTATTTTGCAGTACTGAAGACTCTTTGACTGAATTTGACGTATATGTGGCAAATAGCAGTGGCCCCAAAGTAGACCCTTGGGGAACACCACGGTTCAATGAAATATATTGGGATTCAACTCCGTCTATATTGACCTTCTGCTGACGATTTTCCAAGAATGATCCAAAGAGCGAAACAGCACTATCGGCGAGACCTAAATAAGATAAAATTCTCAATAATAGTTTATGGCTGATTGTGTCAAAGGCCCGACTAAAATCCAATAATATCTAACAAGTACAATTTCCCTTATGTGTGGCTCTAATTAATTCGTCGACAACGTGCAAGAGTGCGGTTGTACAGCTGTATCCCTTGCGAAAACCTGACTGAATCGAAGGAAGTATTGGTACTCGAGATATTCCTTTAGCTGGACTTCCATTCCTTTTTTCAAAATTTTCGATAAGGTTGGCAATATACTGATTGCTTTGAGATCTTTGAAATGAATGAAGAGGAGAAACTGATTTCGATGTAATTCAATGTTCAAAATCGAAAGTAGTTGCATTCTTTTTCCAATTAGTACCTGCAATAAACTATGTAGAATCTATATATCTTCGTGCAAAGTTTGCATTGATCTGTTTAAAAAAATCTGTTTAAAATCTGTTTTTCCGTTAAACAGCTGTCGCACCCCTACGAACGACAACCCTCAGAAGTCGAAACTTGTGCGAGCTAAGGATTAACGAAGTCTTACCTTTTAACGTGTGATTCCTAACACGGGTTGGACGATAGCAAGTGAAGATCGATCGTTCAGACTAGGGCTTGAACCACCGACCAACACAGCAGTCAATTCGAGTGAGTGAACAAAGCACCCACGCCGAACCGCTTGGCTACCGACCGACGATTGATATATTGTTTAATATGAAAAATCATTCAATTCTTCACTATTCACTCCTTCACTATTTATATAGTATGATCCATTCAAAATGAAAGCACATTTTGAAACATATTTTCCAAACGATGGCAATCAGGTTTTTTTTCATTGAGTACCTACACTCAAGAGATTCTTCATTTTTCGTGACCAACTCATTATTTTCCAAAATGAAAAATCAAAAAACAAATTCGATCATGATTTAAGATCTTCTTTTAACTTCAGTCAGACTTTGATGAACGTTCTGAAATTGAATTTGTGGGTGAATTGAATGGCATATTTTTCAAATTTGATTCCCTTACAACTCTTTATTGACAAACGCATTTCGCCGTTATTTTTACATTGATCATTCTCAAACTACATGAATTCGGTGGTAGGTATTCTATAAAAAAAAAACTGAAAAATAGGGGTGATGCTCGATACTGATTTCAGATTCACTAGTCATGTTGAAAATTTAATAAAAAAAGTCATTGTCATTGAAACTGTTATACTGTAATCATTTTATTTTGAGTCAATCTCTAAAAAGAATGATCTGTGATAGTATGGTGCTAAGCCATTTCAACTACTGTGACTTATATGATTCAGATAAAAAAAATACAAAAAGTGCATAATTCTTGTTGCCGCTTAATTTATGAACTTCGTAAGTATGATTTAATTTCTGAAGCCTTTGAAAATTCCCGCTGGCTCAATATGAAAAACCGTATGATTCATCATTTGGGTTGTTTTGTTCATAAATTGATTACCCTTCCCCATTCACCCCTTTCAATACAAAAACTAATTTTGCGTAATTATATTCACTCAAGAAACATTAGACATAAAAACAAATTAACTATGCCACAACATGGCACTGCACAGTTTCAAAGATCAGTTCTTTTCGGTGCTGTAAAACTCTGTAATTCATTGCCCGAGCATTTGAAGAGTTTCAATATCAGGAAATCCAAATACAAATATAAAAATTATATCTACGATAGTCAGTAATGTCAACTTTTGCTCATTGCACAAATTAATAAACAACGGATCAAATAAATTTAATTATTTATCAGCTTTCTTCAGAGGGTAATCACAAATTATTATTTTCATTTCGTGGTACTATCACTGTTAATTGTCTTTTTATTTCTGTACATACGCGTGCATTATGGAGTGGTGCTTGTTAGTTGAGTTAGAGTAGCTTTGAGCTAGACTTTATTAATAATGAAAGTTGATCCTGAAAACGAAGAATCAATCATAAAACTCAGTATTTTAGCTGACGGCTGTCCACCTCATAAATATGTCACACTGTAAATAAATATGTTTAAAATAGGTTTTTTCTGTTAACCAGCTATCGCACCCCTACGAACGACAATCCTCAGAAGTCGAAACTTGTGCGAGCTGAGGACTAACGAAGTCTTACCTTTCAACGTGTGATTCCTATCACGGGTTGGACGATAGCAAGTAAAAATCGAGTGTTCACCCTGCAATGAAAAATGCAAAAAGATAATGGATTTCGTTCGATGTAAAAATATCTCCTGAGCATATTTCTTTTTCAATAAATTGATGATCAATTGATGTCTTGATTTTTGAGAAGGATTTTATTCAATCATTTTTTCAAAAACTACACGTCACGATTTGATCTCCACATTACAGTCATAAGCTAATGTCTTAGCGAAACATGTGATATATTTTTCAAATGAAGTTTGTGGAGATCAAATCGTGAGGTGTAGTTTTTGAAAATACTATGGATCTTCATCAAGTAACGGCCGAATCAATAAGAAAATTATTCAATTATAATTATTCGATATCATCTGCGACTGCGGTTTGTAGAAACAATAACTCTGACGCTGCTACCTACCAGTATGATTATCATTCTTGCTAATATATCAACCATTTGATTAGGATTTCACCTAATTTCAAACGATAATTAAATATTTCTAGCGACTTAATTAAGACAAGAAAATACGGTTTCAGAGTTGATATTGTGCTCCAGAGAGATTTTCAGGTCTTGATGAGTATTTATAGCTGCAGGAAATTAAATAGTTCTGTACTTTCAGCTTTAACTTCAAGAGGTAATAAATCGACATTAAAATGTTGAAGCATCATAGATTAAACCAGAAAGTAATGGATCTAATCAGGATATTAATAGCAGAAGCAACACTGAATTCTATGGGGATTTTTTTAATTGTGATATCTCGTGATATTTTTTAGGAGGCCAGTGCATAACTCGGTCTATTGAAACATATCATCCTCAAAAAGCAGATCATTTCTACGATTGAATTCTTGTTTATTTATGTTATAGAATACAGTTCGTTGAATATCAAAGCCATATTTCCAACCTGTATGTAGCTACATCAGATAACCGTCTAGGATCCAATCTTGGATGCCTTTTGTTCCTCATATTCATCAATGCTTTATCACTTGTACTGTATTCTGGATTTATCTAGTTTGATAATGATCTACAGTTGTTCCGACTGGCTGTGAGGACTGAAGTTTTTCAATCTGAATATTTACAAACCAAATAACTTTTGATTACTCAAGCACTAGTGCTATTTCTGAAAGATGGCTGATTTTCGAAGACTTGGTAGTCATATTCGACATTTAGTTCAATTTCAATGAACACATCAATAGAGCAACTACAAAATCAATTAGATTATTTCGTGACTATGAGCTAAACTGGTTTGGGTTCTCCGGTATAGACAGTTTCGAAACACTGTATACTGTACATCCATCAGAAACTGGATTATGCAACACTCAGTTGGTCACTACTTTATTCAAATTGACAGCATAGAATATGTTCAGCAAAATGTGTGACGTACTCCCTCTTCAAATGTCATCGTTATTACTCATATGTTTCTTTTATTTCAGGTTGTTCCAAAAGTTCTGTACGTTTTTATAAGTACTTAAAACTGTAATATCTCAGTGAATAGTAATTCAATTCAGTCCAACTGGGCGCCATTTGAATCAGTGCACTTTCATCAACGTAACACAAGTTGATTAATTCCGTCAGCATAAAAAATATGTGCTTGGGATTCGATGAAGTAGACGTGATTAATTCCATTGCCGCGGTTGGTGTTGTTCTCATGGCTCCTGTGATGTTTAAACAAGCCAGTCGCTGTATTTGATATAATTTTTGGATGGCCGTTGCTTGTAGAACTTTCGGTCCCCATTCAATGGCTCCATACGTTAACATAGGTCTCATTATTGCAGTGTAGATCCAGGTAATCACACGGAGTGAAAGACCCCATGCGAGTGCCACTATCCTCCGACATTGCTCATAAGACATGTATGCTCTTTTTGCTCTACTCTATAGATAGATGAGAGTTCCATGTTAGCTTCCTGTCGAGGATAGTACCATGGTATTTTACCTCTTCAGAGAAGTTTAGTTTGCTTCTGAAGATTTCGGAAGGTTTTAAGCCCGTTAAACTTTTTTTCCTGGTGAAAAGGACCATCTCAGTCTTCTTGGGATTGATCGACAGTGAGTATTCCTTACACCATGTGTAGAATCCATTTTTGTTAAGGTGATTAATCAGGGTGTCCAGATCTATGTTCCAGAGAAGGGGTGATAAGACCCCTCCCTGTGGATATCCCCTCATGACCAGTCCTTTCACTGTGATGTCTTCTACATTAATACTTATTGCTCTACTAGAGAGCATCCACAAGTTATTTTTCAATATCTCACCATTTCTTTCCGTATTTATGGAAGAAAAAACTTTTTGGCTTTTTACTTTCTTCCTTTCCATTCTAAAGATCTATGAGTATGGAACCAAAAAGGTTTTTTCCGAAACGTAATCTCTTTTAATGTTCTTCTAGATCGTCCATCATAAACCGTGCTGAAGTTGAAGGAAGAGGACTGAATTTGTTCATAATAAATAATGGAAAATTCTGTAGTATCAAAAAGAAACTCAACTGTGAATTGAAAATATGAATTATATTCGAAGCGGGTTCAAAGAGCTGTATTGATTGACAAACTGTAATTGAAGAAAAGTTTGACATTCAGAACAATTGAAATATTTTCTGGATTGAGTCGAATTTCATTAATGACATTATTGACTTCAATTTCAATTAACACGAGTTCCTAAACAGCTGCCAGTTTTTGTTGGCAACGGATTGTGAAAAAATATCTCAAAAAAATACAAATTGAATCCGACACACGAACAAAATCATTACTGAAATTGCTTTTGGAATAATAATTTGAGAAAATGATTGATTTAGTGGCGAACAGAAAGCTTTCATTTGCATACTTGGGAAATCAGTTATTCATTCAACCTACAATTCTCGTCCTTTGATATATGCTTTTCATCAATAAGCTTTCATTTTCAGAAAAGCCGTACGAGCAGCAATTTTCCTACTTCCACTCATGGGAATATCGCACATTTTGTTTTTCTACTACAAGTTCAACGAAGCATGGAAGTTTGCCCTTTGGTCGTTTACCTCTTACTTTTTGGGAACATTCCAAGGCTTCTTCGTCGCTATACTTTATTGTTTCCTAAATGGAGAGGTTAGTATCGGAATGCATCCTTCAGCAATAGAAAAAATCTCTTTTTAATTATATATAAGACAATTATTCTTTGAAAGACATTTTTCGTGGATGAGTCAATGTTTCATGACGTTTTATGGGGTGTATAATATTCCACAATCTGGAAAATAAGTGAAGGTAGATGAATGAGAATCTGTTGAAGTCTAATGAAGGGCAAACTGAAAAGTTGACTTCCAAAAGTTAGTGCGTAATATAAACCACTGAACAGTTTTATTTGTAAGTAACTTGCCCTATTCTTAAATTCTCTTTCGGAAATTGGATAATCAATTGAATAAAAATGAAATTTTTCTACTTTACTTGTTGTAGAGTACAAGAGTAACTGAGAAAACGGTGACCACTTGTAATTCCAATTATCTTGACATCAGTGTAGGTGTTCCTCAGGTGTCAGTAATGGGCCCAATATTGTTTCTAATATATGTAAATGATATCGTTAAAGTGAACCCATCCATACATCTCACATTGTATGCGGAAGATACGTCCATACTTATTTCCAAACAATCTAATTATTCTCTAGAAAAAAGGTTTAATGAAGTTTTTTCTGATCTCTATGACTGGTTCTGTATGAATTGATTGCATCTTAATGCAGAAAAAACTCAGTCAATACATTTTCACAACAAAAGACAAAAACAAGTGCTTACCATTCAGGTAAATGTTAATAATAGAGTTTTGGAAAATGTATCGTGTGTAAAGTTTTTGGGCCTTTACATTGATGAGTGCCTTGACTGGAGCAGACACTGTGAATCAGTAATTTGTAAACTAAACTCTGTAAGCTATCTATTCAAAAAAAATGTTTTTGGGGGTCATCGACTTGTTTTACTCATGTGTTCATATCGCAGAAAAAATTGATTCATTGTATTGCTGGTGTGTCTCGTACATCTAGTTGTAGAAATTGTTTTAAAACCTATCAAATCTTAACCTTGCCGTGTTTGTACATATTTGAAGTGTGTGTTTTTGTATTTTGTAATTTAAACTTTTTTAAAACCAATAAACAAATTCACAATGTTAATACCAAACAGCAGAATGATTTACATGTGCCATTTTCAAGAACTAATCTTCTATATAGATCACCCTCTGTAACTGGGCAAAGGTTGTACAATAAACTTTCCCCCGAAATTAAAACATGTATAACACCGAAAGCATTCAAACAATGTCTTAGGAAGTATCTGTTGAATGGTGGATTTTATTCCTTGGAAAAGTTCTAGTTTAGTTTTTAGTTTTACTTTGTGACAAATTCTACACATGTATCAGCATGTCTTTAATAAAATAAAGTATTATTATTATTATTATAGATATTCAATTTTTTGAAAAAAAAAATGATCCTTTTCTGTTTTGAAAACCCAAATAATCCACTTGTGAACTCTCAGAGAATATATATTACGTGTATTCATATAGTCAATGGAATATGACATCTAAACATCTCTCCTTTTTGAAGTGTGTCGAGGGAAATATAGCTTTCCAAAACTGAGGAGTTGTTGACAAGTGAATATTTCGGTTTCGAATACAGAAATGGGTTATTTTCCGCAACGTTGATCATATAAAAAAATGTGTGTCTCGGGAGACCCAACAGAAGGATAACTTGAACGAATCTAAGTTGAACTATTATTTGTTGAAATTGTTTAATTTGAGAAAAGCTTAGGTTAGTACTTGAGTTCTATATATTTATTGATTGTTTTATTGGTCATTTTGTGTCGTTACATATATAGCTACCATGAGCTAATTGTTACTTTTCTAGGATTAAATAATGATAACAATAATGTACATACATAAAATTGGTATCATCCTTTTTAAGTCACGTTCCACATAATAAAAGAATGGTACGTGCTTTCTGGTTAGATTTTAACAATACTGTTAACAGTACATGTCTAAGGCATACTAAACACTGATCGTCTGTCCGACGAGAGAAAAGCCTGCCTCTTGCTGACGTATGCGTGAGAGAAAAGGTAACGAAGAGGTTTACCCTTTCAATTTTTTTCATTGGACAATTCAATTTGTAGGCAAAATTCATGGATACGACAAGTTACTGACTAATTGGAGTCTTCAGTGGTTTATATTACGCAGTAACTTTTTAGAGTGAACTATTCAATTTGCCCTTAATTGAAATGAAGTTATTGAATAATAATTCCTAGCATAAAATTGAAATGAAAATCTGAAATGTATTTTTTTTTCAATTTTCTACCAGTCAGTGTGAAAACTAGAAATTCAAAATTTAAAAATTTAGTGATATTGAGTCACTCAATATACCTTCTTGTTTATATATGAGAAAATATTTTGTAGCGAACTTTGGTCAAACCACTCGTTTTGTAAGCCACAATATAAAATTATAACTATTGGTGATTGAAGTCTCCTGAATTTTGAAATAACTCAACATTTGTTTAAACGAATTTCCTATTTTACTGTCAAATTGAGGATATCTGCAATCTCCTTCGATATATTGATGAAAACATGAATACAAAATAAGGACATTTTTGAACGTATAAAATGAGATAAAATAATTAACAATGTTAACCCTTATATATCTATATACCACTGTGATAACTTAACTGAGTACCTTGATTTTGTTTACCAGAAAACTGGCGAATCAACTCGGTCGATTTGGTCATTTGGCAGGTTATATCCGCCATTCTCCTGCTTATGAATTTGCATAGTGCATAATTTCCGTATCGTTTAGATTCGGGAACTTGTGGCTACATTCCAAGGAATGGTTTGAAAACGTTGAATATTTTTTACCTAGTCTGAAGGACCTTTCATGTTCAGCATACCGTTTTGAGAAATTTCGCCAACATTATCTATCCCACATAGACACTATTACACTCCAAACACTTATTAAATCCAGATTTTTCCAGCTTGTCCACTTTATATTTGGCATCATGCATCATTATATAACCAACATGTGGCCTGAATGCCCCCTTCATATTATTTCTTTTGAAAAATCCCGACATTCTTCAAAAAAAAATCTGCTTTTTCGTTAACCAGCTGTCGCCCCATATAAACGACAATTCTCAAAAGTATAAACTTGTGCGAGCTAAGGACAAACGAGGTCTTACCTTTCAACGTGTGATTCCGAACACGAATTGGGGGATAGGAAATGAAAATAGATCATCCGGCCTTGCGGATCGAACCACCGGTTCGCACAGCGCTCGGTTTGACTGAGTAGAGCTGACCACTCACGACAACTCACCAACCTACTGTCTTGTTCTTTTACCAAAATATGTTAAAGTTACATATTTCTTGATCAAACAACCCAGATGAAACAACCAGAAATAAAGACATTTGTAACTTTCACTTATTTTGGTAAAAGAATAGAGAAAATCTAGGGATTTTTCAAAAAAAAACAATGTGGAAGTGGCATTCAGGCCACATGCCAGTTTATCTAATTTCCTTTTTGATACCGAAGATAAAGTGGACAATATGGAGAAATAATTTCGAGTTTATAAGCTCAAGTGTCCGGACAGACAAATAATTTCTACGTTTTCTATTCAGTTGCCTCCAACAGTCAACTACAATTGCCTGGTACAGTCCTAGTCTCAATCTGAATTATCATTCGAAGACTAGCGAGGAGAAATACAAACATATGAGAAAATAAATATTGCGGAGCAAAATCTCGAAACATACATCTCTCCTATCGTACTTACACAGTAGGTTCTGGTGAATGCCTGCCGGAAAACAACTACTACCCCGGCTAATATCACCCCGGAAACTGAATTATATCCAACAGATATTTATGCAAAATACCTAACAGTGGTTAGTCTTGCAAATGTTTATCGTTCATCCAGCAGCAGGACCAGTTAGGTAGATCACCTACCCACCGATTCCGAGGTATTACCTCTCATCAGTGCAGGAAAGATCCAACCCAAACACTATTGTGTCTAGGACTCGACTGATATCTACGCGGCTCGATGGCATGTATAAAAACCTTCGTCTAAGAGAAAGATTGTTAACTAGTCACAGCTCCATGCCGTGAACAAAGCTTCAAGAGACTGATATCAGCATGGTACTACTGCTGGATGAACATCTCGTCATTACAACTCATCCAGTCATTACATTTGGATCCCAGGACATCGGCTGCGGAAGCAGATCTCCACCGGCAGCAGAAGGTTGAATATCTTCATAAGGATCTATAGGTAATTTCGAATTGGTGTGAAAGTATCCAGGTTCAATTCAATGCCACAAAAGCCCAGGCATCGGTTTTCTCCAAGAAGATAAATGTCTCCGAACCGGATATAATAATGTCAGGTCAGTAAATTCTGCTTCCTGCTTCGTTAGGTTTGTTGAGAGTTAAAATGGACACCAATATGTCGTGGCAATATCCTGTCGCTGAAATTGCAAAGGGTGCTTTTCAAAAGCTTGGAACACTGTTCCGAACCAGAAAACTGTACACACCTCAGCTACTTTTGATGCTTCATAAAGCTCAGATCAGAGCTACTTTTGAGTATTGTTCTCATGTATGATGGAGCTTCACCCCAAAACATACCCTGAAGCTGCTGGATTCCATCCAGAAAAAAGTCATCCTTCTGATTGGAGACGCGAGCTTGACTTGCAACCTTGATAGTCTGGAACATGGAAGAAAGGTTGCAGGTGTTCAAGTGACTTGGCACATTTGATTGCACCAAGAGCGGTTTATTTCAGAAATACGCGACGGACTGTGGCTGCTCAGCTCACTGTTGTTATGAGGTTCAACTCAGTACACCACGAATTTCATTGTTCAAGAACTCTTTCCTTTGGAGAACGGCGTTTTTGCAGAATAAACTTCCTGAGAACATTTTTTCATTTGATCTTCAGCGATTCAAATGCAATATGAATCAGAATTTTCGCACAGACACCGCTCTAAGAGAGCCTTAAGGATTTTCCTGTAGTGCTTGTGGTTTGTACTTGACAAAAGCAAACCTCTGTGAGGTATCTTTCATAAATATAGTCCGTTGGAAAATGATGAAACAGCAGAGTACGGACTCTGTACCTGCCCGCCGTTTACTGAATCAAGTTTCAGCAGCAGGGTTTCACTTTCGCCATCACTCCTGAACGATCATTCTCTCAATAAACTAATCGTTTTTTTTTTAATAAACTTTTTGTGACCAGGGTGCTGTGAACTTAACCTCACATGACAAAACCTAATTTAAGACCTTATATAACCAATCATTTGACTTAATAGCTTATGTTTTGTATAATTTGTATAATTTTATCTGTTTCAGGTACAGACTGCCATCAAGAACAGTTTCTACCTTCATATGTCATTAAGGAATTACGATTATACTCCCTGCAGAAATTTTACATTGATTTCAATAACAGCGGATGATGGAAATGTACAAAAGTAAGAAAAAATTCGGTATATTATCGTAAACTGTACATTGACGATGTTAGATTGAAAAGGTATATTTTTATGAGAGATTAATGTTTGGAAAAAAAAAGTTTTGGCGTTCTACTTCTTCATCTATACACAAAAAAATGTGAGAATATTTCAAAGAAAGAAAGAAAGCATTCAATTTCAAAAATAAAGTTGATACAAAAATGTGATACTCCTTTAATTGATGATATTGTGTAGGAATCCTGTGGATGGTATCTGATTCGATTCCATTACGAATGTTTTGAATACAAACGAAATAGAGAAGAGTGCTTGCGTTCCTACAAAAGTATTTGTTCCAAAAGTAATGTTCTTTCATGTAATTCAATGTTTATATAAAAGTAGCTGTTCAGAGAGGACTTTTTCTTTCAGTTTGTGTCTGAAAGTTACTTTTTTGCATGATCTACACATCTTTGTATAGAGTAAATTTTTGAAATTGATTGCTTTCTTCCTTTATTTGGAAGATTTTCACATGTTTGTATCAAGATGGAGGAGTAGAAAACCAGAAATTTTTCCCCAAGCATACAATTAACTGTAGACCACCATGTTGTTGACTGATCGAAAACAAATATGAACCTCCATTATTCGAACTCTTGGTAACAAAACAATTATTATAAACAAATGTTTCAGTGTTTTCACTGATGATAATAAGCTGAAATTTCATGAATATATCGATGAAAAAATGTTTTGCAGTGGGAGTGGTTAGAGTCAAGCTTGAAGATTCCTCAAGACACTTTCTCACTGCCAATAAAATTTCAACACATTTGAATAACACTTTTTTTTGAGATTTACACTCAAGAAATCACAAAACGGCAACCTTGGGTTAGTATTGAACATGCCTGAAGAAGCTATTGTATAGTGAACCACGTGTCACGGTTTTGTAAATGGTTTAAGACAGAGAGAAAGGAAGAAAGAGAGAGAGAGAGAATATACTTCATTGTCATGAGAGTACTCTTGTGGACAAAGTTTCACCTAATCTATAATGTAGTTTATAAATGCATTCAAATTAATTAATTTTCACTCAATACATAAAATCAGTTTGTATATATAAAAACATATAAGTCGTAGAGGATACTGGTGAATAATAAATAAATGATAAAAATCAGTTTGAATATATAGAAATATACAGGGTATAACTGAATAAGCGTAAAACATTTAAGGAGGTAATTCCTCATCGAAAAAAGATAGGATCTTTTATATAAAGAAACTTCATTGGAGCATTCCTTACAGCCCCTCAAAGGGGGTACATAAAATTTGTATAACAATTTTTTCACAAGTACTGAAAAAGTTACAATATTGAAATTAACCTGACGTTTTGTACCATCAAAAAGACACTTAGCCAGTAATTTATTTGGTTTATCCCATGGTTGTAAGGGGTGGAAAACGTGGGTGGTTATTATTTATTTACAATTTAAATTTTTGTCTTATCATTTGTTTACCATTTAAAAATTTATTTCCGTAATTTATTTGGTTTACCCCATGGTTGTAAGGGGTGGAAAACGCAACCCTTAAAATTTATTTCCGATGTAACTTTTTGTCTCATTATTTGTTTACCATTTGAAAATTTATTATGCGATACCCCATTATTTCGTCGTTTTCAATGGGGCTGGCATAAACTAGTGATTTTAGGTGTCCCCAAAATTAAAAAATCGACGGAATTGAGGTCCAGTGACCTCGGGGGTCAATGCTCAGTGCCTCCTCTTCCTATCCATCGTTGGGAATATGATTCGTCTGAAAAATTTCTTGCTATCACACTAAAATGAGCAGGAGCTCCATTGTGCATAAACTGAGAGTGATTTCGGAGACCAATGGGAACATCTTCCATAAGTTGGGGAAGCTCGTGTTCCAAAAAATGTAGGTAAGCATCTCCATTCAAACGTAAGGAAAGAAAATAGGGCCCAATTAAATAATCCCCAATAATGCCTACCCATACATTAAAAGAGAATCTGTCTTGGAAATGAGTTTGCGTTATCGCATGTGGGTTATCTTCCGCCCAGATGTGGTTGTTATGGAAGTTCATGATACCATTTCTTGAAAAATTAGCCTCATCTGTAAAGAGGATTTTCGATAAAATTTGCGGGTGTTGTTCGACTTTTTTTTGAAGCCATTGAGCAAATTCGATACGTGATTGGAAATCACGTAGCGTAAGTGCCTGGACACACTGAATATGATAAGGATATAATTGCTATTCCTTTAAAATTCTGTAAACTGTCATGTGACTCACATTTAAAGTTTGACTAATTTTTCTTGTACTTGTCTCTGGATGTTCACTAATTTCTTCGAGAACCGCCTCCTCCAATTCTACAGTTCTTGTAGTCCGTGGCCGTCCTACTGCAGAATTTGTTTCAAAGCTTCCAGATTCGGAAAGTCGCCAGAAAAGATTCGTAAATGTCGCTGCACAAAAAGTCACGCGTTGGGGATACCTTTCCTGATAGATGCGTCTGGCTTCGCTTGAATTTCCGTCATCCAAGCCGTATGCAAAAACCATATCAGCCATTTCAGCATTCGTTAAGTCGGACATGGTATACCAAAAAATCACTTTATAAACTCCGAACTGTGAATTTGTCAATTAATAGTTGAAAATGTGACAGAGAACTTCTATTTTAATAAACAAACTTTCATAGCCTACTCGATTTAATCAACTTAATTTGCAAGCGGAGAGTGACAAAATTATTGAAATCAAATTTGGCTATAAAGTAATATGCATCGATATAGAAAATTGTAAATATCTCGAAAACGATCACCTCCAATGTTGTTGAGGAGGTGTACCTTTTTTACTTGGAAAAGGTGTGGAAATTAGGTTTTTTCATGAAAAGTACCAAAAGTTTACTGTCAAAAAAGTTAGTGCAATTTGAAATGAATAATGACAGCGTACGCAGTGGCCTCTAGATGTTACATGAAAATTATTACAAAATTATGATTTCTCACGTCAAAAAAACCCCGGGTACCGAATTTCGTGCAAATAACTTTTTGAGTTATTTTCAAAAAGAGAAAAAAAATTCAATTTCAACACCCAGTATCTCCGAAACGAAACATTTTCGGACACAAGTTCATATAGACTTTTTTCTTAAAATCGTTTCAGGAATACGTCACTTGAATATTTTAATGTACTAATGTTAAACCCTGTATAAAATTTCAACAGTAATCGTACTCTGAAAGTTTACCTCTGTTTGCTGTCCTTACGCTTTCCGTAATTTTCAAACAAACTAATTTTCGTACTTATCTCCAACTCTGGAAATGGATATCCATTTTCAATGGGTGAAGTTGCGCATATGTTATGTCATTTGTTTCAATGTGTTTTTTCAGTGGAAAAGCATCGAAATGGATTCGTTGTTGTAAACAAGCCCCTCCTTCACCTGAAGAAAAGGAAATAAGGTGAGAGTTTTGTTTTTCAACATCCAAATGCTTCTGAAAAACAGAATAACTGAAATATGTCTCTTAGCTTTTCACTTCTTTTTTTTCAAGTCAGAGAAATTGAGTTTAAAAAAATATGGAAGTTATAATGAAATGAAGATTAATAATAATAGGTGAAAAACTAATGAGTTCATTTCGTTCATATTCAATAATAAATCCTAGTTCCCACTTTCTCATTGACCATAAATGACTTTTTTACCCAAGTTAAGTTTTTTAAGGAAGGCTGGTGAAAAGTTCTGGTTTGTTTATTTTTTTTCATCTGCTCTTCAAAACGGATTTTCTGTTCATCTCATCTCCTTTTGAATACATATCATATGTTGGGGAGTTTGGTATGTAATAATAATAATAATCGTCTTTATTATTTTCAAAAAATATGTAAAAAAAAAGATTGAGGAAATACACCAAAAGAAAATCTTGTTGAAAATGAACGGCGAAGTTCAGTTCAGTTCCTGAATGAATTCAACAACTGAACTGTTCTTCCACTTAACCCTAAAAAATACCTCTCTATTGAATTTTCTTCAAATAATAGAAAAACAAAGTTCCAACTCTCTCATTGACCATAAATGACTTTTTTACTTAAGTTAAGATTTTCAAGAGAAGGCTGGTGAAAAGTTCTGGTTTGTTTATTTTTTTTTTCATCTGCTCTTCAGAACGGATTTTCTGTTCATCTCATCTCCTTTCAAATAATATATGTTGGGGAGTTTGGTATGTTAATCACTATTAAATATGAAAAGAAAATGATACTGATTATATATAAGTTTATCAATGCATTTTAGTAAAATTTGAAAAAAGAAATCATTCATTCAATTGTTTAGCATACAGGATCTCAGTGTTCGGCGTGATACTTCTATTATAACAGAACTGACTTTGGTAGGACAGATTCCTTTCAGAAGGTTGGTTCAATTTTATTGCATACCTTTGATTGCTTCACCACTAGTTATAGTTTCATTTTAAAATTCACTAAAGCATGAATATATCAGCACTGGGAAAAATGAAGCACACTAGTTATGAATTTCTATAAAAAATCATACCATAAAATGCTTCATAGGTATCTGATAAAATTGGTGAGATTAGGAATCCAGAATAGAAACAGAAAGGTGTGAAAATTGTTCAAGCGAGATAGAACCGGAGTGAGTATGACGATTTTATCCCTGTGATATCTGGATTAAACGTTTACCAGCTTCATCAAATTGACATGGATAGCCGATGATCTCTTCTGAACGAAATATAGTATTTTCTAGGAGAATATCGATACCAATACCAAGGCCATTCAAATATAATCCCACAATTTTATTCTGATAAGATTGTAGATTTTATGTGGTAGATAACAGGTTATTGGTCTTCATTAGAGAAATTAGATTGAGTATCCTACTCCAATGACTTATTTTCTGAAGAGGATTGATTTTATCAAATATTCCAGGAATATGAAGGCCAATCATGAATGCAGAAAGTCTTTCATGAAGCTTCAAATTTCATACTGAACTTGGAAATCTTCGAAATTATGCAGTACTATAACCTACACTATGGCTAGTGTACTATGGCTGTAATGAACTAAACAGTATATTTAGGAATCAACACCTGGAATAGACATTGTAGAAACAGTGTTAAGAGAGGAACATTTTCAGAATATATTCAGTATTTCACTTTCATTAGGTCCTTGTTAATGGAATAGATTTGACTACCTTCTTCGAAATGATCGATAACAGGTTTTTTACGATAAGGCAGTATGAAGGCACTGTCTACTTGAAGTGGTTTATTCAGAAAACTGTTTTAGTGTCCAAGAAATGAACACGATCAGTTATGACGTTCAAACTATAGAAAATAATTACGGATAACCATCATACATGAAGATCAAAAGAATATGAATACTAACTAACACATTACAGATACAAATAAAACAAAAAACTATGCGAGAAGAGTCAGATGCTACATTTGCAATACGCATATATACAGACGGCTCAAAAACCAAAGAAGACTCAAGATGTGGATTGTACTCCAGATCACTAAGCCTGAAGATTAAGTGGGAAATGGGAAAAATACCAGCGTGGTTCAAACAGAACTGGCTGGTAACTCAATCGTCACAAAATAAATAACCAGGAAAGGAATTTCTGGCAAAAAATAACAATCTGCACTAATAGCAGACAAGCCCTAGTAGCCTTGAACAGACAACGTGTTTCCTCAGGTGTAGTACTAGAGTACCACCAAGATTCAGTTGAAGCCTCGGTAGATAATAACATTATTCTGAGGTGGATTAAAGGGCACGACAGAAGTGAAGGTAATCACATTGCCGATCTACGGCCTAATGACTTCGACAATTGCGAAACTATCCAAACGTCACACCCATGCTCAATCCCTAAAGAGATGGGATGAAATTTAAGGATGCAGTTTTGCCAGGATCACCCTGGGCGACCCTGTGTAGCTGGCGCCAAAGAAATATTTGGCAATGACCAGGAAAAATCTACACTCAACAATAGGATTTCTGACTGACGACTGTCAACTAAAGAAACACCTCAACATTATGGGGCTAATGGACACACCTCTATGCAGGATGTGTGAACAGGAAGATGGAACTGTCAGGCATGTCCTATGCGAATTTCCGGAGTTATCGTCAATAAGAGAGTGTATGTTCGGCGAGTCCTGGTCTACACCTGACGATATAAAGGAGATGTCTCCCAGAGACCTGTCCACATTCCTGGAAAGGCCAGGATGGACGATGACCTAGGAGGACAACTCCTTGGGAGGATGTACAATGGGTAACACGTGGCCTAAGTGCTCCAGGCCTACACTCACCCTCCCTACTCTACAGATACAGAACTATGTGAGAATTTTCTAATAACATACACAGATGCTTTGAATATAGCCTAACAGAGCTAAACTAAACGAACTTGGGAAAATCATAATTCAAGAATGTCTACGTTTACACGAACATATGTATAATATCTATTTTCATAACAATCGAGGTACTAACATCCATTCTCTGAGATTTATCAACATGAATCAAGCGTAGGTGAGTAGGTAGATTAAAAATACACCACCATAGTTTTTCTATCCATACTCGACCAAACAAATTCAACATCGATAGAAAAATAATTCGGAATATTTTCCAAACTCAACAATTACAAAACATTGCTATCAATATCAGCAAGATTGGATGAGTTTCGGATAGGATAGTAGTGACATAACGTTAATCGTATATTATTGATTATTAATTTATCGTTAATTTTTTCTTCTATTTGAATATATTTGTGGAAATTTCACAATTTCAATTTGTTTGTAGTGATATTTGTTAGGCATATTAATTGTTCAGAATGCTAGAATGAAATATTTACGTACATTCATTTGATGCATGAATTCGATTCGTTGGTTCAAAGCGAAGTTGTACAGATTCAATAAAAAAAAATGTATTTAGCAGCGACAGTGTATGTGGGCAAAGAGTGAATTGAAATCATAGTGTTTGTTCATTTGGAAAATTAAGTTTTTCCATTGTTGGCGAATATTAATTATCGATTAGTTAGATAACATTTTTTTGGGAAAGAAAGTTTTGGCTTTCTACTACTCCATCTTGATACAAACAAAATGTGGGAATCTTCCAAAGGAAGGAAGGAAGTAATCAATTTGAAAATAAGTTACTCTATACATGGATGTGTAGATCATGCAAAGAAGCAACTTTCAGACACAAACTGAAAGAAAGTCCTCCTGAAACAGCTACTTTCATATAAACATTGAACTACACGAAAGAAAAAAATCTTTCGAAACAAATACTTTTACATGAACACTAAATTATACAGAAGATACTTTTCTCCACTCAGTTTGTATTCCAAACATTCGTTATGGAATGAAATTCAGATATCATTCACAGGAGTTCTACTTTACCATTCATCTAAAGTACTCATCACTCCAAAGTGATGTTGGAACAGGCTTTAGCTAGAAGACAGCAAGAGCTCCACAAGGAAGAGAAGCCGCCACACCCATTACTTGTACTTCCCCACGTCAGAGGATTGTCGAAAAGGCTAAGAAGAATTGGGTCCAAGTATAACATCCGAACCAGCTTCAGTTCTGGGAACTCTATCCGTAGCAGCCTCACAAAAACCAGGCCACCAAACGCGGACTGCGATTCCAAGAATTGAATTTACCGGATACCCTGCGAGTGCGGAGAATCATATATCGGTGAAACAAAGAGGCCATTGAAAGTTCGCATTGCCAAGCATAAGAAACACACACAGCGAGGAGAAACCAGCGAGCTGAAGCTGAAATCATCCACAAGGAAGAATACGGGTTTAGGTGAAAATTCAAAGAAGCCGCATATATGTGTTTTAACAACGCATTTAGCCAAGCTAGCGTAGAGATACGCAACATATGGAAACCTCTAGTCAAGCGAAACACGACCAACTCCCGCTGAACGTCAGCTTCCGCTAAAACCAATGAAGCGGGGACAGGGAAGAGGGGATAGGTAAAAGCACTCGAATGACCTATAAATAGTGAATCTGAAAATGAGATTAACTTGAGGTCCGGTTGAGAAATTTTTATACTTACCGGAGCCACCTGACAGTGACTCTCGGGGATGGTCTTTGGTTCTGCTTCGTTGACCCCCTGTGTTTGTCCCTCTGTCGGAATCTGGGGTACTTCCTGTTAAGTGCGTTATGTAGGTCTCGCCATTCCTATTCTCTGCCGTACGTGAGACCTGAACGTTGATCTAGGTTGACTCCCAAGTAGCAAGCTTCGTTGGTCCACGGAATCTCTTTTCCTTTGGAGATGACGATTCCTTCCGGTTGTACCATCCTCCGGGTGAACAGTATTGCCTGATTCTTGTCAGGGTTTATACTGATCTTCTATAGGTTGGCCCATTCCTCTAATCTATTTGCCTGTTGCTGCAAGTATCTGGTGACGTGCGCTTGGCTTGTTGATCTCGGCAACAGAGCTGTGTCGTCCGCATAGAGCACCAAATTCTTGAAGTTGTTCTCTGGCTTGGGCTCCACTGCTCTGTATACCAAGAAGAGGTGTGGCGAAAGGACTGCACCTTGTGGGACCCCTGCTTCCAGTAATCGCATCGTTGAGAGTTCTTGTCCTACTCTGCAGCGGCATCGCCTGTCATCTAGAAGAGACTCGATTGATCTTATCATTGGTAAAAAAAGCTCTGTAGTGTATGACTTGTTTTAAATACTACCTCTATACCTAGTTCCTTGAAAATCTTTCCAAAGTTCTTCGTGTGTTGGTGGTATGGAACTGATTTTCGTAGTTTCTTAAAGTAGAGATTTCTTTCATTCCTAACCTAGAATTTTTCGTCCTCGTAATATAATTTACAATACTCCTCGAGAAACCGTTACTGACTTCTATTTCCTGTAACGATAGTTACAAAAAAAATTGGTAAAAACATAGAAAGTTTCAATTCTCTTTTCTTCACTATGATCTCCTACCACGTAGCAACGGCTATATGCATCAATTTAATAGTTTACTATATAGCTTGTTAAAATAATAGATTTAGTTATCAGATTCACCTGACTAAGGCAATATTGTAAAATTGATTTTAAGACAATCAATACGCAGGTAGCTAGCAGAGGTATCTATGGTATAAATAAGGACAACATTGTATGTAAATTTAGTTTAATCTTCCCTTTGAAGATGATCACTTGGTGATTGAAACACGTGTCGGGATGTTAAAAATAACGGTTTGGTGTTGGGTAGAACTCCAGTAATATTCAATAATTTACCTCTTCATGTCACTATTGGAATTCGGTCGTTCACATCTTCATCAGTAGTCCAAATCTAAGCCTTACAAACAAAATTACCGTTTATTCATATTTTTGCTGAAAGTTCTATGTTTTATGCTAAGTTATCGATTGCCCTCAGTAGATATCGATTAGTGAAAACGTTACATGGCGATAAAAAACGAAACGGTATTGACATACAATTCCACTCATAACGCTCCTAATCTCGAATTGGATTTAAGTTTCAAGAATATTTTATTATAATCATTTCCCAAAACTTATGTAACACTCACATGAGTAACATTGATGGGTTAAATTAGATATCATGATGAAGCGGTAAACTTGATAGTCGACATATCTTTAATATAATAATACTAAGTATACATTGACGAATGAAGTTTTGCAACCCCGATGTTTTTTATTGTTTGTTTTTCAACAGTCAGTTGTTTCAGTTCCAACAGAAATGATTTTCTCAATTGATTTTCTTACCAATCTTCCCACCAATCTTCAAAGCTGAAGAAATTCAATACAATCTTTAAACCCCTATTTTACCTCCTTGGGGGTGGAAATTCCTGATTTCCTTTCTTGAACGAAGGCAATCCATTTCAAGAAAGGTAACTGAACCTATACGAATTATATTGTGTTTCAATCCTGTGAATGATTTCTTATTCAATTCCAAAACGAATGTTTGGAATACGAACTGAATAGGGAAAAGTTTTTTGTGTATTTCAGTGATCATATAAAAGTACTAGTTATTGCCCGCGGCTTCGCCAGTGTAGAATTTGCTTTGTCACATTAACAAACAGTTACAATATTTTTTTATCAAATCAAAATTTCAGGTTTCTAACTTCAAAACTGAAGACATTCAATACAATCTTCAAACCCTTATTTTTCCTCCTTGGGGGTGGAAATTCCTGATTCCCTTTCTTGGTACTTATTTATGCTATACAAAGAACCTACCTGCATATTTCAAGGTAACAGATTACGATAAAGACAAACCATCTAGAAAAGTGCTGGATGGTTTCAGATCTTGTATTGGATTTGATTTGAATCAAACTGAATTGCTCATTATTTGAATATTCGTTCATAACGATGAATATTACTGTAACGGTTTCCTCGTGGATTCGAGAATAATTGACCACGCTTTACAAACTCGACTTCATTTACTCGACTGCTAATACAACACAAAAATTCCAATAATTGAACTTCTATCGCCTTATTAGTTGACTTCGTACCACACTTTCAACTAGACTAGCCCCATCTACTTGTTGTATATCCTAATGGAAGTCTTCTGAAGCCGATAGGAATATTCTCGACCATGTCACAATCGATTGACGAAGACCAGCGGTGGCCGGCTTTATCTTTTCAGGGGATAATTCAGATTACAAATAACTTTCCATAATATAATCAGATCAATGTATCCTTTTCCTTCCCAGAACAGCTGATTCTTTGAAAAATATTAATAATTTGAAAAATGATCGTATCAATCTAGATAGTTTTTTTCAAATATTCATCAATCGTACTTTCGAAAACTGTTAAGTGTTAAATATAACGATGAAACTGATAAGTTTTGTATATCGTGGGACATCGTATATTTTTTCCTATGTAAAATGAATCATTTTACTATATTTCACGTGAGTAACAACTGCATAAAAGATGCATTGTTGTGAAACGTCATTTAACATTTCCACCTGCAAAAATCTTTATATTTCATAGTAGTGGCGTTGGGCTGCGTTATTTGTCGCTCAAACCCAATATGTTATGTGCCATAAAGAAGTAGTTTTATTCTAGTGTTTGCCTCTCATCATCTAATTTCTTCTTACAGTACATCCCGGAGTAATTGGTCTTCCAAACACACCGTAGAAGAAACAGATACGTCACTGATGGAAGTTAAGGACACAACGGAATAATTTCGTTTTACAAGATATAGATATGGATAAGATATATACAAGATATAGTGAGATATTTTGTTTTTCGAGTGACTGTTAATATTATTTCTGATAATAAAACCATATGATTGATATTGTTTTCTATCAACTAATGATATTTCTGTTCTGAATTGATGTATGGAATGATATTTCACCAAAGAAATGAAAAAGAAGTTTTTCTTCGATTCACAACCTTACTCAATAGATACTTGTTTCGAAGTGCATGAATACGAATCGAATTATTACTTTTCAATTTACACAATTACAATTACTACTGAGTGTTGCGGTTTCTCTGTCTTGTTGGATGAGTGAAACAAACTTATTGATATTTTGTGTATTAAACGTTGCTGTAAATATATTATTCAGTTTGAACTTTCTCAACACACTTGTGTGACAATCCTTGATTCAAGTTTATGAAATTTTGTAGTCAGAATTATGGTGGTGTGTATACTGGGGACAAAACATTGAGAAACATGAATAAACGTAACAACAAACTTTCTATATTTTTCAACGCCAATTGTATTCATTTATTTGAAAAATTACCTACTTTCCCTGATTTAATAAGGATTGTCCAAAACAATGTGTAACGAAGAAAAAGAATCAAAACTTTCTATGTTTTTCCCACTTTCATTCGTAACTAACGTTACTGCAGTTTAGTCCTATAAGTACATTTTCAAACTTATACATATAATGTATATGAGTTATAAGTTATACAGATAATGCATAAGTTTGAGAATGTCCTCAAATGACGAAACTGCAGAAACGTTAGTTACAAATAAAATTGGTAAAAAACATAGAAAGTTTCAATTCTCTTTTCTTTGCCGTGTTAGGAATCACACGTTAAAAGGTAAGACCTCGTTAGTCCTTAGCTCGCACAAGTTTCTCAACTTCTGGGACTTGTCGTTCGTATGGGGACGTCAGCTGATTAACTGAAAAACAGATATATTTTTTTTAAATATGATTTCCTACCACGTAGTAACGGCTACATCCATCTACAATGTGTAACAATGATCATACTGATAATTATTGTGAACAACAGACCCATCTATCGAATGATTATATGTTTAAGTTAGGGCTTGAAAACAAAATCAATAATATATTTTCCGCTGTAACATATTTCAGAGACAGGGACATCTACGTTTCATATATTAAACGTTAAGTTATATTGTATGATTTCCTACCACGTAGTAACGGCTACATCCATCTACAATGTGTAACAATGATCATACTGATAATTATTGTGAACAACAGACCCATCTATCGAATGATATTATGTTCAAGTTAGGGCTTGAAAACAAAATCAATAATATATTTTCCGCTGTAACATATTTGAGAGACAGCGACATCTAGGTTTCATATATTTAACGTTAAGTTATATTGATTAGTGCATCACAAACCGTTCTGAATGAATGGAATCAATTGTATGTGTTCGTAGTGAACACTACAACTGAAATTAATTTACTAGTAGGTACAAAAAGCTTTTTCATTGATGTGTATCTACATGTGAATTATTTTCTTCGTTCTTTCTTAGTTATGCGTTAGCTATGGCGCCACCTAATGAACATGATCTCTACGAACTGTAATTAGATATGGATCCTGATCGTATATGAACTGATTTTCAACAACTCTTGTCGGATCTTTTTGATATTGGATTTCAGTTGAGTAGCTAATTCTGTAGGTTTTCGAAAAGTTTCTCCGCTAGAGGGAACCTGACGTCAATAAAAAATTCAGAGTGCTCAGAACCGTAAAATTAGGGTAATGAATTGAATTCACATTCAAATTTCAAGATACATCTTGATGCAATAGTTGTTTGACAATGACGTTTAGTGTAAGTACATGAAATCTATCGTTACCTTATAATAAATTACGGAAAATTCGATGAAAAATATAACTTGAATATGATACGGAAGCTGGAAATGACATTTTCATTAATAGATATTACTGTAATGGATTTATTTGATATCTAGGGACATCTACCAAATGAAGTTCTATCTCAGAAAAACCAATTGAATTTTAAATGATTTCAACGGGATAATGATTTGGCTGGATATTTCAATAATCAATAGGGGATTCTAGCGATTTAATTTCACTAGAGGGATTCTGAAGTAGTTGACGAATATAGGTGACAAGTATCATTTTCGTTCAAATCAAAACATTGAACACATCCTCCATTATAAGGAAAAAATACTTCATAGAGTTCATATAGTGTTCATTTTTGGAAGGGATGTAGTGATAATTACTCAAAATTATTAGTTCTGTTGGCGTGCTGAGGTTTTGGAAAGCAATAAATACTTGAAGAAAAGTCGAAAATATTTTTTCATTGCTTCTGAAAAATCAGAACGTCACTGGAATCATTCCTTCAGAGTGATTCATTACTTCACGCCTACAACTGCCACCAAATGATACCACAGTGTTAAATTGGTGCATCCATGATCCTATGCCGGATAACGCTATTTCGTTTTGTCATAGTATCATTAATACTGATCCTGAATCTCAAGTATTATTTCAACATTGTTTTTCTTCTTTCTATATTGTATGTCACTGTGAGTTGGAATCATATGAAATTTTTTATCATTGACTTCAGGAAAAAAAATCTCATTAAAAGTTCTGTCGGTTATGAAATTCATTCAGTCATATAAAAGATTGACAAAAATACCGATATCCATGATAATCTTGTGACGCACTGTTTGGAACCTTTTGTGTAGTAATGAATATTACCGGAATTTTTTCCAACACCAAACCGATATTTTAACAGCTCGACATGTGTTTCGATAACCAAGTCATCATCTTCAAGAGGAAGATTGAACTCTTTCTCTTAAAGATGATTACTTGGTGATCGAAACATGTATCGAGATGTTAAAATAGCGGTTTGATGTTGAGATGAAACTCCAGTAATATTTATCCATGATGATAGTTATACAATTTTTATAACATTTTTTCTTTGCTACATAATAGCTCCATCAGTTGGACTCGTCCATCAAACTATTTCACAATGTATTTTGTATAACGATAGGTTATCACCAAACTTCAGAAGAATGATTAGTTTATCACTTCTGTCTGGCGTTCCGAACCGCAAACATTTTTTTATGAATCTGTTTAAAAATCTGTTCAGAATCTGTTTTTTCGTTAACCAGCTGTCGCACACCTACGAAAGACAACCCTCAGAAGTCAAAACTTGTGCGAGCTAAGGATTAACGAGGTCTTACGTTTTAACGTGCCCTGTTTGTTTGGGTCAAATTCAATAATTGAAGTTTAAACTCCTTCCTTTCTTCGTATTGGCAGATTGATCGGATATTTGGTACACACATTTAGTTTTGATGACAACACAATTCAATGAATTCTGTTAAATTGTGAAACCAAGATGTACTTAATCAAAAGTGAAAAATGATTAAGAAATAATAAAATCGTTGGGCGTAGCGTAACCTGAGTAATTATGTTTATATGTAGAGAGTGGTGTGATGACTGCTACCTAGGACCATCCAAATAACTTTTCAGTTTTCAGTACGTTTTTCAATAAAACCGTTCCATATTTTTATTTTAAAATTTTTGTCGATCTCATAAATGACGTTTTTATATGGGTAGTTGTCATCGCCTCTTTTAATCGCCACTTTTAATTGCCACATCAAAATTTCCCATTACATTTGTTACATAACGAGAATAATCGATATCAGTATCGATAAAAATGATGAGGTGAGACTTATTTTTCAATTGTTATATCCATATGATGAGGGGGCTGACGACGGTATAATATCATATTTCCAGAAACACCTATTTGTACTCGTGTTATCTGTGAAAATTTCCTGATAAACGTTTTCAAATAAATGGAGACATATCACATATCTGTGTATTCGACGCAAACAGTTTGTGTTAATAACACCTAACAGAAAGTCACATCATGGCAGGTAAGTGTCAATCATTTATTTTTTGGAGTGTTGGTTTTGTCTGAGAATTCATCATTTTATTTGACTTTTAGTGGCTGTGACTGCTTCAATAAATAACAAGATCGTAAACTGTACGACACATGTATGGTATAAACGACGAGCGTAATTAATTGATATTTAATGTAATCACAAATTTTTGTCATATGATCGAACAAAATCTCTAAACATGTTGATCTAAATGTAGATCGCTCTAAAATATCATCGAGTGAATTTTAACGATATTTTGTTTTTTACCTGAACAACTCAATTACTTTTTCATTTTTTTGCAAGTGGAATTTTTCGTTTTTATTTTGTTACATGATTCTTATGAAATATCTCTGAACCATCTCTAAAATTACAGTAAGTTACAATATTTTTGATTGATATTGAAAAATTCACGTTCGAATAGGGTGACGTGAAATTGACAATTTCGAGTTGAAAATACAAAAAAATTGTTCTTAGTTTCTCAGAAATTTGCTAATTTGTTACATCACGAAGGATGACTATTTATGAAAATCATAATATGAAAAACTCCTTTCGAAAAGAAATTAGAGAACATTTGAGGTGGCTTTAACAAAAGTTCTCATACAAACTTAAAAGTGATTCTGACAGATCGTGGAGATCTCCATTTGCGTAAAAGGATACTTTTTTTCTCAAAATCAATTGTTTTCTTGCTGACGCGACATTTCGAATTCAAATGAATTCTCCTTCAGGGCTCTGTAACAATGACTTTTCATAAAGGTATCTCCCACAAAACTTTATTACCGTTTCAATTTTACAAGAAATAATAGGTTCATAATTGAATTACTCATCGAAAAGTAGTTTCTTCGTTGTAATATTACCATTTTAAAAATAATTAGACATATCAGATACATTAAAAAAAATTTACAACAAGCATATTTTCGAGAAAACACCAACACAAAACGATATGAAACAAACGAATGGCTTTATTTGTGATTCTGATAAGGTGGTATCTGTTTTTTAACAAAAATTGCAAAGAACACAAATATGTCTTGGCGCTGGAATTGCAAAGGCTGCTTCTGAAAATCTTGGAACCCTGTTCCGAACCAGAATACTGTTCACGACTCAGCAATTTTTGATGCTTTATAAAGCTCAGTTCAGACCTTCTTTGGAGTATTGATCTCATATATGAAGCTCCGCCCCTAACCATACCCTGAAGCTGCTGGATTCGATCCAGAAAGGACCATCCGCTTGAATGGAGACACGAACCTCACTTGCAACCTTGGTTTTGAAATCCATATTGGTAGTCTGGAACATCGAAAAAAGTAAGACAGGCTGTAAATTTGTCTCTCTTATATAAATACTTTCACGGGAGGTGACACATTTGATTCCATCAAGAGCGGTACATATCAGAAATACGCGACGGACTGTGGCTTCTCGTCGTTTTGAGGTTCAACTCAGTACACCTCGAACTTTATTGTTTGAGAACTCTTTCATTTGGTGACATGTGTTTATGTGGAATAAACTTTCTGATAACCTCATTCCAAATTGATTTAATCTTCAGCAATTCAAATCCAATGTGAATTGCTACTTTCGCACAGGCACCGCTCTTAGAGCGATCTTAGAGCTTTAGTGTTTGTGTTTCGTCCTTGAAAAATTCTTTATTCCTAATTAAAAGAATATATTTACTGTGAACCAACTCTTGATAATTTTATCTGAGTACTGTTTCCAACGATGAATTTTAGTTCAATTCTGAAATTAATTTCCTTCATAGTTTTTCGAGATTTTTAATCAACGTATAGATTCACATGATACTCTTTGAGTTATTCAGAAATGTGATTAGTGATTACTGGAGCTTCCCACCACACTTTGAGCAAATGAAGAAAATATATTTCGAATTACGTAAAGTGTGAGTAAATCATAATATTGGTTAATGTATATCTAGACCATCTTAATTCAGATAAAAGATAACGTGGATTAGTTTTGTGAAATTTCTACAAAATATATTTTGTGTCAAATCTATTTTCCGTTACAACACTCTTACCTTGTTTGTTCACCTATCAAGTTTGTTTACATATTTTTAGATACATTTTATCTCTTTGAGTGAACCGGTTTTCCATTATCCTTTCGTAATCATAAAATGGCAGTGAAAATAAAGTGGAAATTTTATATCTTCTTCATCTACCCTTAAAAAGAGTTTTTTCAATATTTCATCCTACAGTGAATGAAAAATTGAGTACGTTTAGAAAAAATCGAGAAATTGATAACTATAAAATGAAACTATTTAGGAAAATGTTTATCCATCTAGTATTCTTCAAGATAGAAATAAGGAATGCGTGAGGGGCTACAGGGGGTAACAGAGCATGATAGGCAGGTATGTCATAATTTCAAGGCAAACAATTTCTCAAACTGCATCTGTCTTTGAAATGATAACTTCTTATGGGAGGGTAAACCGCTTCGATAACTGACGCGTAACGCCGCCAATTTGTCCCCTTTCTCTCACGCATACGTCACCGGAAGACAGGCTCCTTCTTTCTCGTCGGACATTCACTTAGTTTTTAGTGTGCGTTAGACATATACTTTCGATATTATTAAAAAAATTCAACCAGCAAGCACGTAATATTCTTTTATCATGTGAAACATGATTTAAAAAATAATGATACTAGTTTTGTGTATGTATATTATTAGTATCATTATTAAATTCTACAAGAGTAACAAACAAATTTTTCTTACATTATCATATCAATATACATAAAATTTGAGTAATAACCTGAGCTTTTCTCAAGTTAAACAATTTCAATATTCAATAGTTCAACTCAGATTAGTTTAAGTTATCATTTCTGTCGAGCGTACCAAGAAGCACTTTTTTTAAATGCATAACGAAAGCAGCTTATAAAAAACGGAAAACACTATATCGAACTGATATAAACGGTATAAATGCCAAAGTAAGGTTGAAAACTATTTTTTACTGCAGATACAGTCGAAGGAAGTGTAAGATTGCCTGGTCAGCAGTATGAGGCAAAATGCAATTGTCTATTGCTTGAAGTTCAACTCAACACATCTCAAACTATTGTTTTTTTTCATTCATTCGGGAAGCAGTTGAAATGTGTCTCCACCCTCCTTACGAACGATAACCCCCAGAAGTCGAAACTTGTGCGACCTGAGGACGGCTTTTTCAGATGAGTTGTAGTAGTACCCTTGGTAATCCTATCGCTATTGCCGTATTTGTTTTAATCAAATGAAATTTGGCTGCTATCACCAGATGCGAATTTCTCCACATCAAATTTTGGATGTTAGGCAAGTCCGAAAGAGGCTTGAATTCCGCCTCCTGCACTAGAAGGATATCTTTAGAAAAGATCTTAAAGAAATTCGCAGACACTTCCTTCCAAGAGGTCACTATAGTATATTTAGAAATAAAAGCCTGCTTAAAACCTTCAGAAGAAACTATATTCACTAATAAAGGAAATAAAGGCAAAATATATAACAACATAGTCAAAGAACAAAAATACCACAAAAAAATAAAAAAAAAAAACAATCATCATAACCAAATCTCGAAGAAACTCAATTATTGTGCCTTCGCCGAGCTTACTATAATATACGAGAGTGACGAAATACTCTAACTTGGCCGATGATTTCTGACCGCTAAATATCTATAAGCCAATTATTAGGTCCACTCTGTATAAACATTCATTACAACTAACTCCTTCCCAAAATCATGAATAGGTTAGTACACATGTATATTTAACTCATCGCTGCCTTTTTCCTGCTCGTCCCCTATTTGAACTTTTGCACTACACTGCTCTTTTTTCGCTCCAGAATAAAAGACTACCCAACATCACACTATCCGCCTGTTTTTCAAAAATAACGAAATTGAAGATTCCACCCAGGAAAACTATCTCCCGAAACGAAAATACCGCGCTTGATTGACAGTCAAGAGAACCCTTCAAACTCCAAGTTTTCGAACCTCCTCAAAATTCACGCAGACTTACTTCCCGAAAAAACTTCCGCACCACTCTAAGACCGCTGCCTCGGGCGAAGAGCTCCCAGAACTCTCTGTCTTCTTTCCTTTCAAAAAACAGGAAGAAATCACTGATTCATTGTCTCTCCCGTTCCTCAAATCGTTCTTCGTAACCATCGTCCACGTGCAACGTAGGTCATCAGAAAACATATTTCGATGAGTTGACAAAACTTTCAATGCTGGGATAATGATATGCCCGTATTTACAATATTGAGCTACGTGACAGATATATCGGACTTTTCAAAACACTCCGATGAATAGTGTTTGTATAAACACTTTCGGTCTTGCCGTAATTTATATTGTATGAGAGACAGATCCGGCATTTAAAAAAATTATGAATTAAAGAAATCTGTCTTTTCCCGAAGTTAGAATTTATATTACCATACATAGCTTTCGCTAGTTATTACAAAATATGCAGCAATTTGAATTCAAGGTAGATCATTATTTTCACGCAGGAGGCTTTCAGATCGAGATAAAAAAATTCTGTGGTGATTGATACGATCGAAAGACGCCTCTGTTTGGAAATTGATGAAACAGCATTGTACATACTTTGTGCCTGCTCTGTTGCAGACCGAATCAGGTTTTCAGAGTTTGGCAGAACCACACTCTTACCATCTGACCTGAAAGATCACTCACCATTTGAACTAATCAGCTTTAGTTGAGAAGCTGGGTTTATTTGGTCGAATGTCAATAGGTGTGAGCCACAATTAACCCTTGCGGGTCGCGATGGAGGATCGAATAGACCCCACACACTTTTGATCTAACCTTACCCAACCCTAATTGAAATTCCTTCGATTTCCTTTTTTTTGAGTACATCTCGAGATTCAGAAAAAATGATGTTTCTACAAATTGGAAAACGTTTCAGCATACTACTGGGTAGACACCTTTGCCAGATCTATGGTACCTACTACAGCCCTTTCTGGAGGATATGACATAGATGGGGCAGAAATATTCGTTGGAAGGGCTTTCCATGATGGTGATTGGATTCCAGCTAAAGTAATTCCTAGCAAAAATGTTGCCTACGTAGCTTACAACGGTGGTGAACACGCTAAGGATAGATACCAGGTAAATACGCGTATACTCGTATTTAGATTGCAATTCAGTTATAATGTGCTACCCTAAATGACTCATTTGATACTGAGACTGAAAAAATCGTGAAAAACGTTAACTTTGATTTTAAGGTTGATATATTCTTGTGTAAAAAGCAATCCCTTGTCAACCATTCCCTTCCCATAACAACCCTCATGGCAAACATTTTAATGAGAATGTCAGATTTTTGACATATCCACGATGAACAACATATAAAAATACTTTTTTGAATTTGAATTCAATTTCGATCTAGAAAGTGAAAGTGAAAAAACAAAATTAAGTGATCATATGTTCGAACCAAGCACCGTGAAGTAACATGTAATGGTGTAAAACATGCTTTGGTTTCCTCCCCGAAACCGTGGATCTATGTAGATGGCATTGTTAATGCTTGGAATTACTTGATTATTCAGCAAAATTTATGTTTTTCACAGTCTTTCGAAAACACTAGTTCTATAATGTGATTACTTAAAATTCTTGCACATTTCGAGGCATTACCACTCCTAAGTGCTAAAATAATGAAAAAAATTCATTATTACTTGAGCAATATGATAGGTTTGATTGCCAAGATAATCATACGGAAATCCATTGACCTAAATAGTGAGTGTGAAAAAAAATGAAAAATGATAATGTCACATGACTCAAACTTGATTCTTTCAAGTCGTTTTCTTCATTTGTTGGTGGTCCAGGCAAATGCAATAATAAAGTACATTATCAGAATCGTGTTCAATTACAACCCCTGCTCCTGCAATAATCATTAGCAGGAAAAAGTGGGAAAAGATTGAGTTGAAATTAAGAATAACAGAGATAAAAAATTGAATCTGGTAGGTAACAAAAAAAAAATTGGTCCAGTATATTTTCAACATTGATGACAACAGGTGATATAATATTTTTTGTCGAGTACCCACTTGTTGAAATTATCCCGGGTGCTGTCTCCTTCCAATGTTAAATACCCCCTAGCACCCTTCTCAAATTATATTTTGAAACTGAATTGATTTTTTTTTCATACAATTTTCACAAAGGTCTGAAAGAAATATAGACTTCAAATCTGTGTATTTATTATTTGAGTAAAATTCAACACTGAAAATCTCATGAGTTAGTAACACAATTCAACCTAATGATATCGTATTCAAAATACTTTATTGTTTAGCGAAACACGTGTCGCGGTTTCGTAAACTTCCAAGTGGAAGTTGGACAATACTATATTTGGCACAATCATGTCGCTGGAATTGCAGAGACTGCTCCTCAAAAGTTTAGTTCCGAACCAGGAAACTGTACACACCTCAGCGACTTTTTATGTTTTGTGAAGCTTAGATCGACCTTCTTTAGAGAAATGTTCTCATGTATGGAGCTGCATCCCTAAGCTTACCCTGAAGCTGCTGGATTATATCCAAAAAAAAACAATTCGCCTATTTGGAGACAGAAACATCACTTGCAACCTTGATAGTCTAATCGAAGAAAGGTTGGAGATTTGTCTCTCTTTTATAAATACTTTCACGGGAGGTGTACAAGTGACTTGGCACATTTGATTCCACCAAGAGCGGTACATATCAGAAATACGCGACGGACTGTGGCTGCTCATCGTTTTGAGGTTCAACTCAGTACACCTCGAACTTCACTGTTTGAGAACTCTTTCGTTTGGATAACTACGTTTATGTGCAATGAACTTCTTGGGAACGTTTTTCCAAATTAATTTAATCTCTAGCGATTCAAATCCAGTGTGAATCGATACTTTCGCATAGACACCGCTCTTAGAGCGTTGTGTTTGGGAAACCAATCAAACAAACAACATGATTATTCTGTAACCATTATCCTTCCATAAAATATTTTGTTTTTGTAACAGGTTTTATGTGAACAAAGGTTTGATTGGGTACATAGTAGTGGAGGAGAAATACCATATGGGGCTGTTGAAGGAGGTAAAACCAGCGATGGAGAACCACTTTATATTGGCAGAGTTCATCACGAAGGATCTCATACTGTTGGAAAGGTAACTAAACTTCATCCTACTGGTTGAATACCGATAAATTCTCGTGCAATTTAAGAAGTAGATGTCTATGAAAATGAAATCCGAGTTGATGTACATAAATTCAGATTTTGATATTGAACTGAACAGATTGCAAAGTCTCACAGTTTTACACATATGATATATTTCATGAAAGATCAAAATACTACTGTTGAAAAAAAAAAACTTGAAAACGATTTTGCTGACTGAATAGGATCATTCCCATTTCTTTTTGAATCGAAGATATTACAAACTGATTGTGGAAAGTTGATTTCTGACTATGAAGCCAAGATTTTAATTCTCAATGTTAATTGAATCAGTTGTATTTCAATTCAAATTGGGAATTGAAGACGTTATTATCATATCTTACTGCTGCTAAAGCAGTTTCAAGAATATGGTTTAGTTTTTTCAGGTCAACACAACTCCTTATTTTCCACGACTTGGAACTACTCATTTAACTCATTATTTCAAATCCGCAATAAAGTAATGATAAACGAAATTCTACTGAAACCCAACCGAAAGCGGCAGTCCTCTTAAATTCAATCCTTAACTATTTATTCAACGGATTTTAAAGTTGGTTTGAGGCGCTTCAGTAAACCTTCATAGTTTCATTGGAAACCCCATTTCTGTTTTCTTTGCAAGCAGTTCTAGAAGAAAATGAATAATTCTTTCGCTAGACAATGATCTCTACAAAATTTCTGGTTTCAAATGAATCTTTTCAACTTTGTATGACAATTGAAAGATTTCAGTTGATTTCCAACAGAAAATTGAATGTTGATCAATCAGTATCACATCGCATAATGTGAATGCTTATGTCATGTAAATGCTTACGTAAAACGTGAACCTATCGCAGGAATCAATTCATGATTCCATCAGTTATCAAAGTTCTTCCCTACTCAAAACTAGTTCTGTAACAAGAACCATCAGAACAAAAAGAAGTCACTGGGAAATTATTTTCTTGTCAATTTTCTAATGGAATTCCTAATTTCGTAGTTTGATAGCGAAGACCACATCGTTATCCCAAAATCAATAACTCAAATGACGAATTTCGTATTTGTATTTATTGAACTAGTTGGTTAGTTTTCTTCAAAAACTGAACAAATTTCTCTGTTCCTATAATGACATTTTCAAAAAAGTGCCTTTGGTGGAATCTTAGTAGGTACAATGAAATACTATTTTGGAAAAATATTATATATGTATCTGTAGAGTAGGGAGGGTGAGTATGGTCCTACAGCACTTAGAGGCCACATGTGACCCATTGCTCATCCTCCCAAGAAGTTGTTCTCCTAGGTCATCGTCCATCCTGTCCATGACGTGAAAGTTGCTATTGTGTTTTTATTCAACTCAGCCAACCAATTTCCAGGACCGTAATTTAAAAAGGAATAATTCACACAATTATAATCAAATATTACCGAAACATCCGGAAATATAAAATTGAATTTAATTTCTCAGTATGAAGTGAACATCGACGATACAAAAAATACAACAAAAAATACAGGTTCGTATTCAAGATGGGGGTGGCCCGAGTCAGATGACACCCTGTATAAAAGATTCATGGACATATATTTTTTTGGTAACCCACATCAAGTGCCAATAGCAAAATGTGGACAGATTTTCAATATGTCTGCGAATAAACAAGATGAAGGCAAAAAAATAATTTGGGATTTTTTGGTTTCTTCTGTATATCTCCAGAACCAGAAGGGCTATATTTTACATTATTGAATGGGTCTGTCAAATACGCAACTTTGCCACAATTTAACCGCCACTTTATCTCTTATCGTTTACGAGATCCCCATGTACAGAAACGAATTTGAATAGCCCAGTATAATATCACAATTACAAAATCTAAGAAATTATGACAACAAAATTTATCATTTCAGGTACACCCAAGTCACAGAGTCTGCTACATTCCTTTCGACGGCAGGGAGATTGCTTACCCTCATTACGAAATTCTGATACTCAGATCTTGAGAAGAATGAATAGCTCCAAGCATTGTATTTGTACGAGTTCTGAAAGGTTCATATGCAAAGAATAATGGAAAAATCAATATTTTTTACAATGACGTTGTTTACTTTAATAAAATAAAACAATAAAACTGCTTATCAAGTTTATTTATGATTAGCCAACACGAAAAGATACATATTTACACTCTGTTATAAAAAGGATGAATTGTTGCTGTATCCACTCTACTGAACTCTGAAACAGAAAATACCGACAATATGTTCATAATTTACAATGAAAATGATTCATTCACAAAACACGAGCGAGCAGAAATTATTTCTACCATGACAAAATAAATATTCCTCAATAATTTTTCGAAACACTCATCTCTCCCAACGTATCTACACAGTAACGTTTGGTGAATGCATGTCGAAAGACACCTACTTCCCGGGCTAATAACACGTTGCTCATTAAATTATATCTGACAGTCATTTATGCAAAATAGGTCCTAGAGATAGAGTACAGTCTTGCAAAAGTTTCTGTTCATCTAGTGGCAGTATCATGCTGAAATTAATCGGCTGTATCACACACAGACCGGTTTCAAATTCAAACCTTTCAGCAGTGCAGGAAAAATCAGAACCAAATAGGAGTATGTCTGGACTTGACAGCAGAGTAATCCTGCTGCTGCAAGACCGTCTATAACTCCGAGTAATAATAAGGCATAGAGTTGCCATGCCTATACCAATACAATACATGTATTTGAAACGGGTATCAGACTATCCTTTTCTGTACAACTTATGGGCGAGGGGGGTGGCGGGTAATGAGAGGTTATGGAGAGTTTGTTCACATTTGAAGTAAGTGGTTCACTGGGTTAAAATTAAATTATTTCTAATGAACTGATTCATAACAATGATAAATGTTAATTTCAAAAGTAATGAACTTTGCTTCATAAAATTAAATGAAGAAATTTGTGATATATTCTTAGATTTGATGAACAAGCATTACGGTTTGTGAGGTCCAATATGAAGAATTTTCGATTAGAAATCATGAATATTTATAATTACGATTGAGCTTTGGTCTTTATGGACCAACATTATGTTTTTTTTCAATAATTCATGCCGACGAATTCTATAATTACGAAAAATCATTCTGTGATCAAGTTGCAAACAGACAATATTAAGTAAGAAATGACAGTTGTCATTTTTTTAGCCTTTTTTGGTTGGAATATGTCAAATAATGAAATAATATAAACCTACTTTTAAAATCTTTATTTATGAGAATAAGATCAGAAAAATTATCATTGAAAACATCAAAAATATCTCATTTCATAATGTCGGTCCACAAAGACCCCTAAATACAAATTTTTCACCTGAAATGATTTATATTATAAATATATAATATCCCTCGGATTATTAACTAAACTAACCGCCACTGTTTTATGGTCCAACTTACTTCCCGTAAACAAACAAAGTTATGCTGCCTACAATGTAAGGATGCCAAAGGCCTCTCTATTGTCTTTTGTTACTCTGAGGTCTATACTGTGTGAGGTATTGTGAATATATGTCTGTCTCATATAATTCAATGTACATCGTGTAAAAGTAGCTGTTTTTTGGCAGAAACGTACAACTCTACTAGCTTCTTGAAAAAAATGGACCATATTGAAGAGAGATCAATAAATTCAGATACAATTCGAAATCAGCTATTTGATTTCTATTCGAATCATAGTAGTACATGAAGTTCACTTCATTTAATAGTTGACTTTTTGTGTCACAGAACACGAAAACTTATGATCTATGCTTCTGTGATTTGAAATTGGACAAACCAAGGGCGTTGGCAAAAAAAGGTCAAATCAAATGTAACATGTACTTGCGGTGCAGCAAAACAGATCATATCAGAAATAAAGGTGTACACAACGTAACTACTAACAACATTTTCTTTTTTGATACCCCAATTTTTCGATTTCTTGAAAATTAACACAAGAAATTTTGGTGGTTGAGGATAATTCCACTCAGTTATTTTTTTTTATGAAAATCATTTCGACTAGGTCACTTGCATATATTTTTTATTGGTGAATAATAACCCTTCATACTTTATAATTTTGTAAAGTGGGGTTTGTACTTTGATGTGATGATAGTTGTACATGGATTTGGTAAATCATCAATAACATTCGACAATAACATTTTCTACCTGCCGTCATGCTGTTTGCTATTCTATCGGATTCTATATTCGATTGAGATTCACAGCTATTCTTTTCTGTTGAAGTTATCCATGTATTTGTGGATCTCTATTGCATCCCGTACTAGCCGGCTATGGTATCCCTGATTGGGAGCAATGAGCTCTGTGTTTTCAAATATAATCCTGTGGTTTCCCATGGATCTTTTGGTGATTCCGATGTGAACCTTCCCACAAGCGCACGGTATGGAAAACCCACCAAAGTCTTAAGTCGGCTGAATACAAAAGAGACCCACTATCAGCAGCTGGGATAAGTATATCGCAGATGGATATCACGGAATGAACAAGAAAATTTGTGAGGATTTGCTTTCCGAGGAAACTTGCACAAACGTCAGTCGGATGAAATTTAATGTTCATCGTGGTATTAGCAGAGAAAGTAGTTACTTCCTATTGGCTGATGCCAGATCCTACTATGTAGAAAAGTTGAAAGAGAGAATGTTTTGAGTTTCATTTCTTATATCGAAATACTATTTTTTTAAATATTTATGGACCTATCTTTTCTCCAAACGCATTATTTTGATTTCTTCATGAAACAATAATTTGAAAAGGGTTTTAATATTCATTCGTACCCACAATCGTTTTCTGGTGGAACAATAGTCGTTACCAAGTTTTGATGATATCTAATTTTTTATAGACAACAGAAAGATAGAGAACGATTCCTCTGTTTTTTTTGTTATTCATGATTTGAATTTTCGTGATTTCATAAATAACGGCGTCGTAGATTCGTCATCACCATTTCTAACTCAGGATTGTTTTTGACTGGTGAGTTTGAACGTTATACATTTTCCAACATGGTAACCATTCATGATTTGAATTTTCGTGATCTCGTAAATAACGGCGTTGTAGATTCGTCATCATCAGTTTTTGACTGGTCAGTTTGAACGTTACATTTTCCAATATGGTAACCAAGCCAACACCAAATTAGGACAACTCCAATGAACCTACTACCTACGCTAGTACTTCGGTAGGGACAAACACTGCCTAATCCTCATATAAACATATGGTAAAGTACAAATAAAAAATAATGTTTTTAACACAAGAAGACGTTCCTGGAGCAAAACTAAAATTTGCAACTGTCAAGGATAACAATGTTGTAACATTAAAACGTTGGCTTGCATGCCGTAATTTAAAAGTAACTGAAAAAAAAAGTGAATTGATAGACAGGTTAGTATACAGACTCTAGTAAAAGAGTAGCAGTAGATTCAAACTGTAATAAAAGAAATTTAAAATAATTATGAATTTCAGATGTAATTTCTGAGTGAAATATGAATCAAATATAGATAGTAATGAAATAAATTTAATTAAATATAGTTTAATAAACGATTGATGTTATATCTCATTCTAATCAATGGTAGTTAACTATGAAAAGTTTATTATTCATTTCGTGTTTAGAGCATACATATCAATATTTATTCATTTTTTGCACTGTTGAATCCACTCTTCTCGAAGCATGTATCCATTTCTTACATCTATCCTCAATAAAATGAGGTTTTATAAATGGTATAAAAAACACGTTTCCTTCCGTATATCGATTATCCGACGTACAACTTGCAAAATAGCAATGCTTTGTTGGCATTATACTAGCACAAAATAATTTTTTATATCAGATTTATATTTTTAAATAATAAATTAATATTACGTAAATAACATTGTTTCACATGTGAATAGTTTATGTTTGCCCCTACTACTAGTGCTGCCTCTCGTGACACGTTCGCTGTACTATTCTCAAGAAAAAGGCTCATTGAATGTGCCGGATAACGTATGGCTGCAGCATATCACATATCGATGAGACCAAGATGCCGATGGAAGTCTATAATCGGCAAAACCTCTAATCATCTGAAAAAACGGGCTGTGGTACTCGTATACTCAATCGGAAAACTGAGAGGAGGGAGATTGGAGGAGAAAGTGCTCTCAAGTGTCTTATGAATAGTATAGAAGTATCAAAAATGAGTTGGTTTGATATATGTTGATTTTTTTTCCAGACAATGTCACACCAAACTTCCAACATTAGTTAATTTTCAACATTTGGAGTTTGTTAACTTGTATTTCGTTCTCACACTTCTATAATCTCCTTATACCCATGTTACATACTTATGATGCACTGTTTGGAACCTTTGGTGTAGTAATGAATATTACTGGAGTTTTTTCCCAACACCAAATCGTTATTTTTACACCTCGACACGTGTTTCGATCACCAAGTGATCATCTTCAAGAGGAAGAT